CCACCCCAGTCCGCCCCTCGAGAAAGGAAACTCGTCACCTCGCTTTCCTGTCGTCCTTTCGAGGTTTGCGACTCCAGAACTGAAATAATCTCTTTCTTCTGGCTTTTTCTTCTTCTTCTACTTCTCGCTCGCTGTGCTCCTCTTCGTTCGTGCTTGCTTTTTCCCTCTTTAAAATAATCGTTTCGAGTGGATCGCACCTCCTGCGCGACCCCGATCAACTACCGTGTTTTGTGCGCCAATATACTACCCGCCGTGCATATTTCATTATTATATATACGCAACAGCAGCTCCCTGGGAGACAGTGAGAGTTGGTATCTCACATTTTTTGTTGCTTTTCTTTTCGGGGCTGTCTGATATATACACATACACACCAAAAATTCTGCCACCTGTACACGGAGTTTTGGCCTAATCTATATCCATCCTTCTCCTCCCTCCCGCTCTCTCTCTTTTTTTTTTCTGCGTCCGCCGTTGAGCGTCGAGGGTTACGCAGGATGACTCGCTTCATCACTTTGGCGCTCGCCGTTGCGCTCTCCGCGCAGTCGGTGTTGGTTGCCGGGGCTTCTCAGAAGTGTAGCCCGAGCCAGAAGTGTCCCAGCTCGGCGCCATGTTGCTCGTGTAAGTGGATGATGATACTCGTTATAAAATAATAACAATAAAAGCAAACAAGACCGATTATGCTGACGGCTGGCTTTCTTTCCTTTTGGTGTAGTATATGGAGAATGTGGTTCCGGTGCCTATTGCCTGGGAGGATGTGATATGAAATCTTCCTTCGCCGTGGACTCGTGTGTCCCGATGCCGGTCTGCAAGAGTCAGACGTACAATTGGGACAACCTGGACAGCGTTGTGCCCAACACCAAGTACCTGGGCGATGCTAGCAAGGCGGATTGGGTCTCCAGTGGTGAGCCTAAGTCCGCTGGTGGTAACCTGCTGTTGACCATGGCTCCCAGCACTGTTGGTACCCTGCTCGGCCACAACCACTACATGTGGTATGGCAAGGCCACCGCCAAGCTAAAGACCAGCAGAGGACGTGGTGTAGTGACAGCTTTCATTCTGATGTCTGATGCAAAGGACGAGATTGATTTCGAGTTCGTTGGAGCCGACCTGGTTACTGCTCAGACCAACTACTATTACCAAGGAATCACCGATTGTAAGTTTCTGGTTAACGTGACCCATCCCCCCAACCTCCAGCTAACGTTACTCTTTTTCCTCTTTGGTTAGACACCCAAGGCAAGAACGCATCTATCTCTAATACTTTCGAAGAATATCACACCTATGAGATCGACTGGAAGCCCGAATCGATTACCTGGAGCATCGATGGCAACGTCATCCGTACTCTCGAACGTGACAGCACCATGAACAGCACTACGCACCAGTACCACTACCCTTCCACCCCCGCTCGTGTCCAACTCTCCCTCTGGCCGGCTGGTCTGTCCACCAACGGAGAGGGTACCATTGCCTGGGCCGGAGGTCTCGTCGACTGGAAGTCTGAGGACATTCAGAAGAATGGCTACTATTACGCTGCTTTTGATTCTGTCACCATCGAATGCTACGATCCTCCAAAGGGTGCCAAGGTCGAAGGTAGCAAGTCCTACGTCTACACCGATGAGAGTGGTACCGAAGGCTCCGTAAAGATCACCGACCAAAGCACTATTCTCAAGTCATTCCTCGGCAACGGCAAGGACAAGGACAAGGACTACCCAAGCCCTACCAAGGGAGGTTCCGCTACACCCCGCCCCTCCGAAATTGCTGTCATTCCTGGTCTCAGCGGTGCTGGTCCTGGTCTTGACGGCAAGCGACCAGGTGACGGTGATAACGGCAACCACAACGGTGGCAACGGCGGCAGCGGTGGTTCCGACCCTTCCTCTCCCCAACAGACTGGCTTCTCCCAAGGCCCTATCAACGGCAACGGCAACTCGAGCGGTGCCTCTGCTCCTGGAGACCAAGTCCTACAAGGCTCCCTATTTGCAGTTTTCATCGCCATCATGGCACTAGTAACTTTGTAATAGCAGTCTCAGCTGTGCACATACTCTGAGCTATTCCCCCATTTTTACCCTCCTCTTCTTGTTAATGTTTTTATGCCTCCCCTTTTTTTCATCTGCTTCTTCTATACCTTTATTCCCGACTATCAACAGCCTCTCAACGTTTTTGGTTATGCTCTCCCAAGTCACCCTCTATTTCCCGCCTGCTCACCTCGCTTATCGCCTTAGAGCAAACCCCCTCTCTCCCTCTTCTCTCCCCTTTCCTCGTTGATTGATGTACTCCGTATGATCTGGCCCATTTTTAGCCTCCTAAACTTAACTAGTTAATGTTTTTTATTTTTTTGCTTATTCATAAACAAACCTTAATTTTCCCACCCAATGTCTCTCGTGCATCAACTTCAAACATCCTTCCCCATATCAACCGCCTTCTATGCATATTCAGGCGCAGGGTTACCCTTATTTTTTGCAGACGGTAACTGGTGGCGTGCTGTAAGCTTTTCTTACCGAGCTGCCTTGAACACTCGTATGTACCTGTGGGCGTGTGCATTGCTCAGTCTATGGCGCTTTTCCTATTCGCTGCATGTTACCGAGTACGCCTATAACAAACAAGAAACCGCCACCCAAAGCTCTCCGGATACTGCACCTGACTACCGACCTTTCCATGTTGGTTCTGAGGGTTATCTTGGGGCCCGAAGTTCTTTGCTTTGAACAAGCTGGGAAATGTTTGCATGCCAAAGATGCCTAAGCCTTGAGAGGTACCTAGTTAACTCCAGGGGTTTGTTTTGACAGCCCAACCAGACCCGTGTTTGCCTACTACTTTTTTATCTACATTTGTACACCATGTCAAAACGAGAGAGTCAAGGTACCTGGATTCCTTAGATTATGTCCTCTAGGCACTTTTGCCTAGGGAAGTGATGCTAACCTTGCTGCCTTACGTTTGATATCCATCCATACCGCTTAATATATCATGTTTTCTATTTCTTTCATGCCTAAAGAACTACTTTTACTAGATTGCTACTATCCTATATACCAGCCAGCTTTGAAATACCCATTATATCAACAAGGAGAAGCAATCTACTTCTCTTTATGACCCTTCTTTGCTATCTTTTCCCCGGTGTGGCGGTTGAGGCTGAGTGCGGCTTTCACTCAATCTTCACTGCCACTTTATACTTCCCTCTGTGTATGGATTGGCATACATCAAGCAAAGACCTTAGGTAACTAACCAAGCAAACAGGCCCCTGGTCTGTGTTAAAGCCACTGGCCAGTCAGCATGGTGACAGATGTGGTGTTCCTATTCTTATGGCCTCTTTTCTGTTCCTTTTCTGGGTCTTTTCTTAGTCTTATTCTTGAGTCTGGCCAGGACATATGTTGTGCTGGCTAGTAAGGCAGTATAAATTGATACCTGCTTTGGTTTTCTTTTCCTTTACCCACCATATCACTCACATACTCCTACATATCTGTTGGTCCACATATCAAATTGAATACAAGAAAGATCTGGTTGCCGTCTTTAAGCCCTGGTAAGTTACATATACTTGCTGGCTAGGTATACAAAGGAATACTAATATATACATTCCTATACTGATAGGGAACAACTATAACAAGGCTAGGCGGTGGACAAAGTGCGTCCTAGTCCAGGGCAACAGCACACCTGCGGGCTGTATAGCTCCCCCACGAGCCCAACGCCATATATTACTACAGTATGAGCGTAGCTGCCCCCTTTGGCTGTATTTAAACTAACTAAATCCCGTAGAGACACGCTCAATCATAATGTGTCGATACTACATGGTCAGATACCTTTGCCAGTGCCAGGGTATTTTCCTCCACACCTTCTGCACTCACACCTTTCAGCAACTGGTTCGAATCAATGACCCGCAAGAGCGAGCACGCTATGCTATCCCATTCGATGACCTCATTAACTGTGTTCCAACAGACCGTAGCATTGTTGGTTACGACTTCAGAAACCATACCTGCATCGACTGTCGGATCAGACTTGTGAGGTGGTTTGGGGGCGATACCGTGATATTGTGAACTGGTTGAATGGTGCAGGTGCATATGGATATTGATGAAATTAGGTTATTTGGCGTTCCTGCTTTGGGAGGGGATTTTTACCTGTTTCGTCTGTTGACTCCGGAAAGTACGTTATGGTGGCCGTTTGTGTGGCTTTTTCTATTAGATGAAGCCTGGAGGCAGTTTGCCCTTGTCCTGGAGCATGATTTTGCACATTGAGGAATTGGCAGTTGGTACTCTGGAAACTAGTTATCTATCAGTAATTCGGCTATTGCTGATTATTGGGAGCTGGTAGTAAGAGTCTAGTCCAGCCCTGAAGCTATGAGTGTATACAAAAAGGCAGACAGGAACAAATCTCATAAGAATACCGCTCGTATTACGCTTAGATATATAGACTGTGTCTAGAATGGACTTGGGAATATCGAAAACCGGAAATAGAAAAAGTAGTCTACAACAACCATTAAGAGCCCCAATGTGAGGGATGAAATCTTAAGCAGTCAAAAATGCAAAACGGTACATAAGAAAAAAGATCGTAGAAGGAAACTGAAAAACGTAAGATAACAGAAAGTGTACTAATGGCTACCGCATCCACAGTCCGATCGTTCTTCATGGGCAGGCTCATCAGGGCCCCTCTTTCTTAGGCGGCGCTTAAAGTCTCCATGGTAGGTATCAAGCTCATCAACAACCACGCCCTTGTCGAGTGGCTTGCCCATCCAGGAGTAGTCGGGGCCAGAATCTTCGCTGCTGGTTGACGGCTTGGTCTTAACACCCTTCAACTTTTTGGTGATGGCATCCAAGTCAAGATCGAGGTAGGTCGCAATGAATTTTCCCACTTCAGTGTTCTCATGGCTACCAACCAATGGGAGAGCGTCATGAGGAGACGAGGCAAAGATACTAACATCAGCGGCAGAATGACCGTGGGTGCTCCAGCCTATCTGGGCTCTGCGGCTGATAAGGTCGGCGAAGAGATACGCAGCAGGGTTGCCGGTGTTATCGATAAGTCGATCAATTTCGGCATCGGTGGTATCGACGATTCCGAGAGCAGGCTTGATGAGTTCTTCGCGGATGTATTCGCGCTTCTTATCTCGGGATTGGCCATGACCTTTTCCTTCGAGGTAGGCGTTCAACTTGGGCTCGAGATACTCGGAAGAATGGGTAGCGTTTGCAAGGGCATCGGGAAGCCAGAGGTACTCCGGATATGTCTCGTGGAGCTGTCTTGCGGCGGCAAGGCCACCAGTTTCGTGGTCGGATGTGCTGACGAGAACACCAGGGGTAGAATCGTTTTCAAGGAACTCCAGAACGGCCTTGAATGCCTTGTCGTACGCCAAAACCTCATAGACCTGAGCAGCTGGGTCATTGCCGTGGCCAGCATGATCGATTCTAGAGCCCTCAATCATGATAAGAAGCCATGCTCGCTGTTCTTGGTGGCATCACTCAATGTCTTGAGAGCAGTTCTGGTCATCTCCTCCAGAGATGGGAACTCCTTTTCACGGAAACGTCGATCGATTTCAAAAGGAATATCTTTTGGAGCCAAGAGTCCTAGCAATGGCAGTTTGGCAGCCTTGCCCTGCTTCAGAGCATCGAACCCACTGCGGTCGTCAAAGTAGTGGAAGCCTTTAGACTTTGCAAGCTTGACCAAATCCTTGTCATCAGCACGACAAGACCCAGAGGTAGAGTTGGGTAGGAAGTGGCATCTACCACCACCCATGATAAGATCAACCTGTACACCAAGAGGATATTCACCAAGCTGATGCTCGGCGATCAAGTCTTCGTAACCACGGATGTTCACATGGGAAGAAAAGCAGGCGGGAGTGGCATCCGTGATTCGTGTGGTGACGACCAAACCGGTCATGTAACCGGCGGCCTTAGCAGCTTCCAAAACGGTTCCACAGGGGGTGTGGTCCGGAAGAACCGAGATAGCGCCGTTATAACTCTTCATTCCACACGAGAAGGCGGTAGCTCCGGCGGCCGAATCAGTCACCAGGCTGCTGGACGACCTCGTTCTAGACGATCCGATATGATGTTTGTCCAGAGTCAGGATATCATCGATAGGAAGCTTGTCAACATGCTGTCTGAACGAGCGAGTCATAGACAAGCTGGTAGGCCCCATTCCATCCGACACCATGAATATCATGTTCCTCTTCCCAGTGTGTCTAGCTTTATGAGGGTCTTTCGGGATGGAGTGATCATGCTGATAGACGATTGCAAGGACGATGACGATAGCGGTAGCAACGAGAGCCCAGGTAAACAACCCAACCTGACGCCAGAAATGAGGGCCACGACGGGAATCATCCTTGATGCTACGGTTAACTCGCTCTCCGGTCAGAAGGGTGGACTCTTCGTCGTTTCGATCGGTGTCGTTCGACGGACGAGGGTCAGGGGACGCCATCGTCGGATGAGCCAACGCGGGCCCGAGTATATTATGCGCGTAGAGAAAGAAAAATTCACCGAGACTCTGGCATAAGATATGGTAATAAGATGTACGGTGTGGTTGTTCTGTGTACTCCGTACGTTGTACACCCTGTTGAAGCCTCCAAGATGCTAAGAAGCCGGGGAATCTCAAACTCGCGATCGGATCAGCCGGGGTCGGTCACGTGAAAGGTACCGCACATGACCTGCAGCAGCCTCATACCGGAATAGCGTACCTTAGGTATAATGTATTTCTTACCTAAACTCTCGACAGCTCTAAGCATTAACCAATCTTTGATGGCTGCCTGTTTAGAGGAGATAAAACTACGCCTTCTACACATATTTACTAAATTTTTAAATGGTGGTTGTAAAAATAATGATCCCCCTTTAGAAGAAAGCCTCCATCCATTTTGGATATCCCAGTCACATGACCAGGCCGAGGAATTTCCTACCGCCACCTATTGAGCATTAACAATGACGCTCCCCGCCATGATTCACATCATTTTACTCTCGAGCTACCTTTCCACCGTGATTAGGGGGGTTAATACGCAAGGAAGTTTGACACCTTGATTAACTCCATTTTCAGCCTGAACCCGCCTCCTATGGCCGATTTCAACGAGCTGCCGCGTGGCCCAGAGGGTACCATTTACGCAAAGGAGAATGGATTCGACCCTGGCTTCAAGATCGAGATCGACCCCACAAAGATTGAGTTTATCAACAAGCTGAAAACATCAAAGGCGTCATCGATATTCCATGTAAACTATCATGGCAAGCCTCGCGTCCTGAAAGTTGTACGTGTTGTCACTATATCTCAAAGTCGCAATATTCTAACTATGTCCAGTTTCACAATAACGAAGACCGTGGGTATGCTGATGACGGGATTCGTGACTTGGACCGCGCTCGCTGTGAAATCCGGGCTTACTGCCGCCTCAAGCGGTCTGGTGTTTGCGATGGAGGCTACGTGCCACAGTTTTATGGGTATACATTATCCTTAAATCCTAACAGTTTCGCTCCTCATCTAGACGGTTTTAGGCGTGACACTGGTCTTCCAAGCGCAGTTCTGATGGAATACCTGCCAAACCCTTTGTTAATGAACAGTGTCACTTACAGTAAAGAGCGAATGGCCGCGGCAGTTAAGGGCATCCAACAGATCCATTCGGCTTTGGTTGATCATAACGACTCGTATCCCAAGAATATTATGATTGTCCCCGGTAGCCCAGAAAGGGTCATATGGATAGATTTTGATATTGCTATCACATATCCTGACGAGTCTTATCTTACAGACTGGGGTCGTCACAGGATTGAATTTGAAACTGCGTGCGTCGAGAGCTACGGAGTGGCACTAGTAAGTACTTCAGACAGTTTACAATGCTCACTTCCTGGCCACTGACAGGTTTTACAGGCTGAGGATCAAAAACAAGGCCTCCCACCAAACACAAAGTTTTACTAGAAGGGCAGGATAATAATATGTGCGTACAGACATGCAGGAGATATAATGACGAAAAAAAGGGTATCAGTACCTCTGTATATTGAAATAAGGATGTTAAACTTAATAGAGGGTCCCTACTGCTATATTCTGCCTACAAAAATAAGATACCTACTACAGAGAAAGGCCCCTCAAGGCGTTGATATACCCTGTCTGTATTCTTATGGGCTCCCCTCAGAAAGTCATGCTCCAACCCTTATCCTTAACGGTGTTGAAGGGCTTAAGACAAGGGCACTCAAGGGCAATATTAAGGACAGAATGTGAAAAATGGATGTAGAACCTCCCCTTGCCTTCCCAATGTTCTACTGCAGTTGCCAGTTATTATCTGCCCCCAACATCCCGATATACCAAAGTCCTAGAAGAATTGTCAAACGTCCCGGTCCTGCTGCTTCCCATGGTATGGCCTGCGCTACCAGCAAGTTGCCGCGTGCGTCGAGTCTCTTTATAGGGACTAGTTCAGTGTTGGTTAAGACAAATCCGTACTGCGTGTTATGCTGTTTCATATAATAATTGACCTGCGACAGAACCTGCAAATACTCTTTACGATATAACACCGACTGGGCTGTTTGCCAATTAGATCCCCATTTCCATGACACCTTGAGGTCCCCTGGGCAGCGATTTGGAGAGGAGCCGAGAGGGGTACCAGCGTGGAAAAAGGCAATATCGGGTCGGAAATTGTTGATTATCTGGGCCGCATCACCAATATCAACTGTAATAGGAGTAAGGTTGGCAAGCTGAGGTGTATTATGCTGGAAGCCAGCTCGCAGCGCACGACGTAGCCGACTCTGAATGTAGGTAGTAACACGGACTGCGAACATCGGCTCAGTACGTATGGGTTGTGGGGGAGAATCTGGCATTGGTTCGCTCTGAATTTCAGCTTCCTGAAGCAACACCCCGTAACGCTGGATAATATGGGCGTATGTGAATTCAGTCCATTGACCGACGCTGCGGATATCACTCCATTTGTAACTGTCATTTGACGTGTTAGGTGATCTGTGCGTTTCCATGGTAGGCTGGCCTGGAGGGGGCACCATAAGATAGTCTAAAAGTCTCTGAATGTTGGCCATAATTGCTTCTGTTTTTATATAGAATCTTGAATACCGAAGACGAAACGTTGCCGTGGGAGTTTATCTTTCTCAAGTTACGGCCTGGTCTTCGCCTGTAATCTGTACTCTGGATACATTCGAGGACTCTTGTCTCCGCGAATCATGTCTATACCATACGGGAAATAAGTGAATTGAAAAAACCATGATGTCCCAAAAATTACGCGTGAAGATCGGGACTTGACGGTTTTTTCAATTCACTTATTTCCCATATGGTAGCTGAGTTAGCGCCCTGGTGAATCTCTAGGAATCCCCCTTCTCCTGCTTCTACTTCTACTTCTACTACTACTACTACTACTACCCCAATACCACAACAAACCTTCGACAGGGCTAGGGAAGGCCACTGCAGGGACTGGGAGCTTCATAATCATAGCTGTGAGATGTTGTAAAGGTGATGTGTATTTCTTAGGATGCCATCTTCCAGGTCGTTGGCGAGGCGGGCAGTTTCAAATATGATGAATGCTCTGCCCGTCCTGATAGCAGTATCCATCATATCAAAAATATCGTGGTCGCGGAGATCGACGACCTGGACCCTCTTTTGGGAGTCGCGGTTGAAGATCAATACGAGAATTAGGCAGTGAGTGTTGTTTGCCTATCCTCTAGAAAAGATCAAGCAAGGAATCTAACCTAGTTAGACCTTCCTAAATGCCACAAACGGAAAGAAATATTACCGACTAAACTTGTCGTCGGTGGTCAGCTAGTAGGAGGGCCTATTTGAGGTATATGGTGATTCGAATCAGCATGTTTTTTTATAGATCTCAATCACAAAAGATACTATTTGTTTGTCTTTAATCTACGTCACGCAATGGTCAACTAGGCGATCAATGGCATATTCTTCATAATATATTCCTATCCCTTCTAAAGGTAGGAAGAAGGGCCAATCGCTGAATCGTATTGGGCGGATAGTGTTGAGAGACTTGACAAACTCCCAGTACTCTGGATAGGCACCGCCAACCTCCCAGCCTACCAAGCCAGCTACCCGAACCTCCCCTTCTCCATCTTTAATAGCCATAATGTTACGGGGATGCAGGTCACCGTGGGTTAGAACAATACGATGATTGTTATAGAGCATCGGTCTAACAAACTCCACGTAAGGTTCCATGCCTGGTCGCCTATTGCCAGAGAGAAGAAATTCGTTAAACTCGCCTTCACCCTCTATATATTCGGGGCTTTCACGCTTCCACATTCTTGAGTCAATACATAGAGGTGGGCTTCCGCCGCCGAGATACTGAGATGGCAACGGTATTAACCGAAGTTTCCCCAGGATAATATTCAATTGATCACGGATAGAGCATTTCTCGGCGATTGATTATTCTGGCCACAAATTTTCTAAGGAACGGCCCTCGATAAGGCTCATAAAGGCATATGTTCTCCTATCGAAGGTTAGTACACCTAGGGGTTCAGGAACTGGAATATCAGAAGAGTGGCTTCGTATATGGGCAGTCATATTTGCATCCGTCAAGGTAATGCTGGATCCAATCTTGACAACAATCCGCTCATCAAGCTGCACCACCGCGCGTGAAAAATGGCTCCAAATAACTGTCCCATTCTTTAGAGCTTTGGATAGGGCTGAGCATGTGCCATCGTCAGTTAGTTCGCATCCCTGCTCAGCGTACTTCTGCAAAAGGGAGGTGACTTCAGGTGCAAGAGGAAATCGGATATTTGGCTGCGCTTGCGGAACCGATAGTAACTCTTCGTGGAACCGTGGATTTCGAGAACTGCTTTCACGACCTAAATAAAGTTAGCTTGAGGCGAATCATCTTCATTTGCTATTGATAAAACAGTAGAGCATTCATCCTCACACTCTTGACTCTTAAGGCTGCGCTTCTGTACAAGTCTATGCTTGCTAGAGGGGTAAAGGCAGCCCCATCTAACACACAATTAGCTTAGATCCGCCCACGGAATAGTATTCTATAGCTAACGTTAGAATTCGCCCATCACAGATTCATTTAGTTCAACTATGGCCTTTCGAATATCTCCATCATTATCTACATGAAATATTTCATCAATAGGTAGCATGATATTCTCCACTAGTTCAGAGTTCTGCTTAGATATTTTGGGCTTGGGCTTAGATTAAGGCAGAGTCACGCTTAACCCGAGTTCGTGCCTTCTTAGAGCAAGGAGTAGAAGCAAGGCGGCGCTCGCACCTAGGAGGAAATTTAGGCCCGTCTGCCAGCTTGGGAGCTTGATAGACATTTCTCTAAGAACTCCTAGTGTCGACGTGCCGAGATTGTATTCTTTGGCTGTCTGTTATTATCGAGCGATATAAAACTGTTTCAATTAAACGGGAAGAAGCGCTGTTTGCGGTAGCTTGGTACGTACCTAAATCGGCCCGCTACTAGGTAGTTCTTCCACCTCCAACCTTAACCGCACTTCTTAAATCCGAATATATCGGATTTCTATATCTGACTGATATATTTAACAGGATTATATACTTATTCATGTACTCAACATCTATAATACATAGCTCTATATTACAAGGTTACTAGAAAGACAATTTGACTGCCAAGGGTAGGTTACTGGCTGGCCTCTCTAGTTATCCAATTGGCAGCAAAGCAGCAGCAATTTCTTGAACGCCTCGCTCAGTTGCCAGCAGATTGAACTGCGCAGCGGCATTCCTAGTATCCTGAACCTCAACCCTTATACCTAGCTCATTAATATGCCTCCTTGTCTCAGGTGAGAGAGGGCGCATCGCGGGACCTAGCCCAAGAATCAGAATATCTAAACGTAAAGTTAGCATACCACGTCAAATAGCCAGTCCAGAAGACACATCCGACGTAGACGGGTATCCAATGCTTAAAACCACGTACCTGGTTTCGGCCACAAAAGCCGTAGAGCACCCCAAGCACCCTCTGGCACCTCCCACTGGCCCTTCTCATTAACCAAGTTCCTCTCCTTGCCAGCTGCAGCCTCCCACGGTCTCCAAACAAACACCTCTCCATCAACCAGTAAGCACCCGTTACCATCCGCAATTCGCACGCCGTTATTTAACTGGAATCCGTCGTGGTGGCATGCATCGATGGCTGTTGCAGGTACAGCTGCACCGGACAGGATGTTCAATGAGTTAAGATCTGTCATGTGCTGTGCATCTGTGCCTTCCGGTGGTGGGCCGCGGTAGTTTGATTTGGGCTTTAGGTCTGCTGATGATAGTGTTGTACGGCGTGGACGGGGTTGGACCCGGATATTGGGATTAGGGTTGCTTTTGTCGCTGGTATAGGTGCGGATGCTGGAGGGCGTGGGCCTGAGAAGACACTGGGATACCGTTGGTTGGAGGGATCCGTAGGATGGTCGAGATGAGAAAGGAACACTCTTTGAAATAGAGCTTCGGAGGGAGCGGAGGAGTAATGTCGATGGTGTATGCATGGTGGGCGACCTAGAAGCTTGCTCAAAGGTGAAAGTGGTGGTGTTGTAGATTTCGAGTCGCTTTTTCGGCATTTTGGTTGGAGTGATGAAATAATGTCTTGGCATTCTATAGTTAGAGTTCGAGGTACGTACCTAATTTATCAAGCTCAAGGAACATGCTTACTTGCAATTTGATATCAATAACAATGCTTTTTATCCATTCTATATAACTCATAACCAGTCCCTTGGCGACCACTGAGAAGACGCTCGCCATCTTCTATTTTGTCCCTACCGTACCTCGCCTTTTATTTTTCATTCCACCAGCCCGGGAAAAAGGGAAAGAAGAAACACCCAATCCTCGAAGAGCGAAGAAAAAGTGAGAGAGGAAAAAGAGAAAGTAGTAAATAATAAAAAGACATTACCATTAATAGAGCAGTTATGTCACCCGAAGGAGAAGTAGAAACATAAGAGGCGTGGTTTGTTAATAGGGAATAGGGGATTGAACGGTAATGTTATAAAGACATGGTGGAGAAGGGACGTATAAGTAAGACCGAGGCAGAGAATTGAGAACTTTGGAAAAAAACAAGGAAGAACTGAAAGGTAAAGGAATGTATGCAGAGGAGCTGAATAAGGATGCTTGCAAATAAACCGCTTGCGCCATAGAAAACCCACGTCTTGGAAAAAAAAAAAAAAACTGCTAACGCCAGGAAATGATATCGATTCTCAATGCCTCCAGCCCCCTTTGCCTGTAGCCGTGATGGATGCTTAGGTTAGTGCGAGGCCGTGTACGTCGTCATAACTGTTGAGTAAGATATAGAGGTAATAGGAAATACAAAAGAGGACAGGGGTTTCAGGTTCGGTGTCGCCATTTAAGTCTCTGCAGGTTTGGTCTCGGGAGCTTTGGTAGAGCGTTGTGACAGAGATGGACGGGAACGAGCTGTAGTCTCAGCATGTCGGTCTTCGTCTGACTGGCTGGAGCTATCCTCACCACCACCGGCGACGACGGAACTACTTCGTAGTCGTTCCGCCCGGTCCTGCAGGACCTGCGCCTCGGCGGCGGCTCGCTGAGCCTTGATCTGTTTGCGCCACATGCTGGAATAACGGCCCTTCATGGCCAAAAGCTGTTCGTGAGTACCTTTCTCGGCAACCTGTCCGTTTTGGAGGACAAGGATCTGATCGGCTGTGGTAATCGTGCTGAGACGATGAGCGATGACAAGCATGGTTCGGCCCTTGGAGAGGGTAGCCAAGGCGCCTTGAATGTGTTCTTCAGTATCGGTATCAAGAGCGGCAGTAGCCTCGTCCAGAAGGATGATACGTGGGTTCTTTATAATCGTTCTGGCGATTGCGACTCGCTGTTTTTCACCACCACTCAGCCTGAGGCCACGTTCTCCAACCTTGGTTTGGTAACCGTCGGGGAAAGTAAGAATGCGGTCATGGATACTAGCCGCACGACAAGCGTCGTATATGTCCTCGTCGGTTGCTGCAGGGTTAGCGTACTTGAGATTGTACATGATAGTCTCATTAAATAAGACGGTATCTTGGGGGACAACACCAATGTGGCGGCGGAGAGAGTCAATGGATACGCTCTCGACTGGATGGCCATCCACACGAATTTGACCAGAAAGAGAGTTGTAGAACCGGAACAAAAGACGGAAAACAGTGGATTTTCCGCCGCCTGACTCTCCTACGAGAGCGGTGGTAGTACCAGGCTTACACTCAAAGGACAGTCCATTGAGGGCTGGCTTGCGGCTGTCATATGCGAAATGTACCTTGTCAAACTCGATTCCGCCATTGCAGGAGCGGAGTTCATCGACATCAGGTGCGTCAACGACGGTAGGCTTTGCCCTGAAAAGCTCCAGTAGTCGTTCCGAGTTAATCATGGCTCCTTGGATCGAGCGATAGAAGGTACCGAAAAAGTTCAGAGGTCCTTGAAGCTGAGACATATATGTGAGCAAGCCGACGAACTGACCAACATCTCTCTGGCCGTTTGCGATCTGGAAAGCGCAAATGAAACAGGTGATGAGAAGGCCCAGCATGAAAACAGTGTTCTGACAAGTGTTCATCAACTGAAGAGAAAACAAAACATGGTATTCAGCAGCCTGGTAGTCCGAAACGGCACCACGGTATCGATTGAACTCGTATGGTTCAGCATTGAAATACTTGACAGTTTCATATGAAACCATTGAGTCATTCCTACATCAGTTAGTATACGTGTTGATAGAGAGAGTCTGTACAAGGGGGGAAGACTTACTTGACAGCGTCTTGCTGACGATCAGCGTTAGTCATCATGCGTCGGACTTCACCTCTCCACTGCGCCATGCGGATGGTCAGGTAGAGATAGAAGAAAGTAATGATGCCTACGACTAATGCGTAGTAGACATCGAACTCGACAAAGAAGTAGCCCACGGCAATGCACATGTCAACCAACATGGGCACGACCTGGAACGTAACTTGTTCAAGGAAGCCGTTGATTGAGCTACCTTTACCCAGCGCAGACAGGACCTCGCCAGTTTTCTTGCCGAGGTGAAAATCGAGACTGAGACTGTGAACATGTTCAAAAGCGGCTGTTGACAGTTCCATATAAGAGTACTGGCCAACAGGAATCCACAAGAAGGAACGTAGGGATCCGATAAGGCCCTGGGAGCCCTGTAGCGAGCGGAAGATGACATATAGACAGATGGTTCCCCATGGAACGTAGAATTCATTTCCATGCTCCTGGGCAAGAATGTTGACGATGTTACGAACGAGTATGGGAACACCGACGTTGACGCCTCTTTGGAGTATGACGAGGATAAAACAGAATACAACGATCGATTTCAGCTTGTTCGACCTGGACGGCCAGAGGTATGGGAAAAAGAGGGAATAACCGCTCATGTACTCCCACCAGCTGGTAGACGGCAGTGTCTTTGGGCGTACCCATCCGTCTTCCTCTGGCTGGTCATCGTCTTCATGTTTAAGATTTCGATGGGATGCACCGTAACGGTCGCCGTTGGCATGTGCAGTGCCATTTCCTGAGTGTAGCAATGAAGTGGTCTCCGTGGCAGTGCCGTCATGCTGAGCTCTGCTTCTCAAGCTATAGGAGGTAAGGCTGTAGACAACCACCAGACATACGAGCAGCAAGATCCGGGCACTCGCTGTGACACCGACGCCGGCTTCCCAGGCAGTCAGGCCCTTTCTGAGCGGGCCGCCGAGAGGGTCACCAACAATGGGCTCGTGGTGCGGAGAGGTGTTGATATCGAGGAACAGGGCCAGGATGACCAGCTCCAGCAGCATCGACACTATCCAGCTGATAAGCTGTGCCACTGTGGGCGACGGAGTAGTGTCGATGAGCGATATCAGCACCAGAGTGTGAACAAAGAAAGTGCCAACCACATGGATCTGCAAGCAGTTAGTTAAGAAGAAGACGTGTGCGTTCCTCCCTGGCGGTCATAGCATGGGCAGATGCACGACTAAGCATGCAGCCTTAGATAGACATCACAGCATCAACGACATCAACGACAAACAGAGAAAGAGAGAGTAGACATAAAAATAAGAATAACAGAGAAAAAGCTTGTACTCACTACGACTGCTTCACCACACCACCAATGGTCCTTTCGATGGAGGACTATGTGAGCAACATGGATGGCTGCCTCGGCGACGAAGCTGAACAAGACGGCCACGGCCAGCCATTTGAAAGCCAGCTTCGTGGCAGGCGAGAAATCGGGGGTTTTGCGGGCAATCAGCACGGCGGCACTCCTCATGCGAGTGGGCAGCGGTCTTCCCCCAGGGCCTGTCTTTGCGCCCCTGGTATGCTGCACCTTGGGCTCGATCCTCCGGTTTGCAATGACGGTGTTTGTGACAAAAGACACCGCGAAAACGACGAATAAGATGACGGGAGAGAAGCTCCGGAGGGCGTCCAACGCGCGTCTGATAGGCTGCATATGATGAGCGGCCAGCCCCAGGCCATCTATGCTGACAGAATCCATAGCTGTCTTTTCCCTCTTTCACACGCACGCACACGCACGTACACACAGACTCACTCTGTCTGCCTTTCGATGTCACTCTCTGTCTCAGTTGGTTGTAACCTCTGAGTACCTGGCGGAGGGTCGAAATCGAACCGCCGTTTGCTGAGTGTGGGGAGAATTACTGCAATTGACCGATGTTCATGCTCATGCTCATGCTCACGTCAAAGGAGACCTGACAGTCCAACGCTCGGCACTTTTTTATTTGCAGTTCGGAAGAGAAGAGGAAGAAGAAAAAAAAGAGCTAGGGTTGTTTTGGAGTGAAGAAGAAAATAAAAGAAAAACAAAAAGCGAGCGGATGAGGGTGGGAGGAAGACGACGACGCCGACGAAGCAAGCTGTTTGAAGCTTCCGAATATAAGTTAGTCCACGAAGAGGAAGAGACAGCGAGATAAAGAAGGACAGCGTGAATGACGACGAAGTGAGAGTGAGGGAGCAGAGAGAAAGGGGAATCGACCACACGAACTGGCTATGGTACCAGTTTACGCGGCAGGTGGGGGGGTGTGATAAGGGACGAGGAGAGGGTGTTATTCGTTTTTGCGATGGCGATGGAGAGAGGGAGATGGGGACTGAGATGAAGAAGAGAGAAGCTTACAAGCAGCAAGAGCCAGGCAAAACGAAGACAATCGTTAGGAGGAGGAAGAAGAAGAGAGAGAAGGAGGAAAAGAGAAGAAGAAAAGGGAGAAGAAGAAGAATAAAAATAAGAAGAAGAGGAGGACGAAAACGGAGAGATCGAGAGATAGATCGAGAGAAGCAAGGTACCACCAAACCACCACGCAAGGGCAAAGAGAAAGGCTGGCGGGACAAAGGCAGCAAATTAGAGATGCCGCGAACTCGAGGTCACTAAAGCACAAGCAAAGTAACTAAACGGCCAGCCAGAGAGACAAAGATGCGACAGTCCCGGAGCTGCTGATAGGTCCCGGCGAGTGTGACGGTGACGCCGGAGACGGCAGCGAGATAGATGGAGCTGAAAGAGCGAGGAATGACTATAAAGCAGACGAAGGAGAGGACCAGAAGAAAGACGAAGAGAGAGAGAGAGAGAGAGAGGAAGAGAAGGAAAAGCGTTGAGAAGAGGCAAAGGCAAAAAGAGGCTTCCCTGGTAGTCTTAACTAGAGAGGAAGAAGAAGATCGCCTCTTGAAGCTGGCCACGGGAACATCTCCTTCTTCGCCTGCCTGTGACCTTTTAAAACTGCGTTGACTAGTTGGCAACTAAAACTAACTGAACTGGCCTTTGAGAAGAGAGAAGGAAAAGAAGGCTGCCTCGGGGTGGCAAGATCGAGCTCCAACTTCCGGCTGCTTTCCTCGACCCAGGGAAGACGGCCTTTTCCATCCCATCCCATCCATCCCATCCATTCTCCATGGTCTTCCTGTCTATGTATAGCCCAGCGTCGTATAGCTTGCTAGCTCGCTGCTGGAGAAGCTAACACTAACTGCTCGACTCAATGAACCGCTTTAATTAACCAACTAGCTATACTAGTCAGCCAGCTCCGGCTTTACCCTTACGCTCCTGTCTTCCCCGTCCACTCCTCCGCGCGCGCGCTCTCTCTCTGTGTCTCCCTCTCCCCCTTTTGCAGCTGCTAACTTCTGCTCAAATATCAACCATCACCTAACGAGCTACCACCTCAAGCGGTGAAGAATAAGAAGAACATCTCATCTCTAGCGGTGAAGCTCCATTCTTTCTTTTTCCTCGTCTTTCTTTTCCTGCGTGCTGCCGGGGCCATGTACATGCATACATACATATATGTAACTAAAATCACACCCAAGCTACAGATACCTGGTATGTACATAGACTTTCCTGCCACTGCGAACTCCCTGGGATGGATGGCAGAGAAAACTTAGCAAGAGCTTTAACCCGTTTGCTTCTTTTCTTTTTCTTCCACTTCTTCTTCGCTGCCTACGACTAATCAGGGGTAGGTATCTGATACTTCCCGCCCTGCTGTCACGGTCCCCCGAGCCCCCAGTACCCAGTACCTCTGCCTGGGGTCGTCTGCATGAAAGTATATGGGCTGTGCTGACCATTTCTTCTTCCTGCATGGTCTGGGCCATCGTCTCTGCTGCTTCTCCGCCATTTTAGCTGCATGAGATTGTGATAGGGAGATGGCGCTTGCTGCACACCGAAGTTAACTACTTACGGTGCGGTACTTCACCCAAGGGCAACGAGAGTAGCGACCTTTGTATCTCACTACTACCTGTTTATCTAGCGAACTAAGTAGCTACCTAGTTGAATGTGGAATCTAGGGCACAGGAAGTCGAACGGCTGACCGACCTGGGACGGTTCCCCAGCCTTGGACCGGCGCTCTCTGTCTCCTTCTCCTTCTCCCTTCTTTTCTTCTTTTCTTTTCACACTCCGTCTTCCTGCCACATGTGATGACAGGGGAGTCTTGCTTTTTCCTTCATCTTCTGCTTCTTCTGCTTCTGCGTCTTCGGCTTTAAGTCTTTGCTTTTTCCTCACAAACCTTAGCTTGGTAGCCATCTTCTCTTTCCCGGATGTTAGTTTGATGCCGGCCAGCTCGATCTCACCATCAACGGCTCATGGTCATGCAAGATCTCCCTGAAACCAGTAGCGTGGCCCATGAATATGGGATCTCTGGCCTTCCATCCTCTTTCTGGTCCCGCGGGAATCTCGGGAAACTGGGATGGCCAGTTTAAACTACCTGGTCGCTCAGAACCTTCACATCGGCTTCATCCTGTCCCTCTCGATATATTTATAACTACCAACGTGGTGATTTAACCGCCTCACCCTTGAAAGTATTTGACAACATTTCTCCCTTCTCGGCTACGGCTCTTCCTTGTCTTTCTCCCCCACGGTGCTCGATACGAACCTCTATCTAGATAAAACAGTAGTTACCCAAGCTACTCCGTACATCTTTTCCCCTTCACCGTCCACTTCCCCCTGACGGGCCGCTGCCGCCAAACACAATGACGAGACTCGCCTACCAACCTAGATAGCAATAGCAGAGTATTCCCGTTCCTTAGCTGACTAGCCTTCTTCGTCCTCCATCCGGGCCGTGGGAACCGTCGCTGGCCATCCCACCCCATCCATGCCATGTCATCACAACCCACGGCTTCCCACAGCAGTCACCGCCGTTCCCTCCCTCGTTCCGTCTCCTGTAACAGGCTCGGACGGGTAACGTAACTGTTCCACGGCCCCAAGGTAAGCGAGCCCGTTTGTCCCTCCATTGCGCCCTGCAGACGAAAATCCAGGGTGTCTCCAGCGTCTTCTTCGGGCTTTTGATACTTCTTGTCCCGAAGTGCAAGAATGGCCGGGACGAAATTTACTCACGTGATGGCCAAAGGGCTCCAGGGCTCCCTAACCACAAACGGAAGCCAACTAACCAAACTTGGAACCTTGGAAATTCTATACTCATGTGACTATCAATGAACTCCCCCTGAAGAACGTTGGCGGATGGGGGAGATTCTCAGCTATGTTCTTCTCAAATGCAGCAATTATCAGCTATATCCGACAATATTTACATATAACTATTGATATATGTTTCTTCCATATAAACTATCCAACTTTATGCTAGACATAGTTACTACATAGCTCTCAAGTTGATATGACGGCATACCCAAAATGGTAGAAAACTACATTGCATACACACAAATTCATGTCTCGATGCGACCTTGATCAGAGAGTTTTGAAGTTTGAAGGCATACGCAATGTATATATATTTTTGAATATGGGTTTTCACCGACGTCTTGGGTCTTCCAAGAGAGAGTCTATCAATCAATGGCTGGAGAATGTCGAGTCATACTCAGCCTAGAAGACAGTGGCTCTGAGCGAAGAAGGACTACAAAGAGCCGCACAAACTTCTCACCAAACACAAATGAGCTTTCAAAGTCACATCAGCAGAGACTATATTCACGGTCTTCGCCCACGAACAAAATGGGAATCTTCCCCCGAAAAGCAAGGACTCAAGAGCTCGCAAAGCCAAAGCGATAACTAAATGTTGAGATATTCCACTTTACCTAGACTCGCACACATTACCCAAGGATACCTTGGAGCACTAGGCCTTTTTATCCCTTGAGGTCCAACGCTAAACCTCATTTACGCTTTGAGGAAGAAGCTTCTTCTCTAGCCAGCCTGACCAGAAAACGCAAGCGCGGATCAAGAGCCATAGAATCTGAGCGGAATAACATCACCACATTAGGCCCAAGGTAATCCCTATAACAATATCAGTAGAGTTAAAAGGGGCTAATCAATGGGGCAGGAGTGGCAGTATGCAAACTTCTAAGACATCGCGGAAGAGCGTCAACCCACGTACTCTGCTCGCTAGACTAAGCTTTGCTCAACCTTTTGTGGTCTTTCGCGCTTTCGGGGCAGACGAAATTCCAGACCCAGCAAGGGAGCTATTCAACAAATTTACTCGCAACAAATTGGCTCCTGTGCCAGAATGGATGGCGCAAGCATATATCATATCCCTTTGACATAAATGTAGCTTGATCTGATTTTATATATAACACCCGTCTGAAGGAAGACTTCCCAATGGAAGCACAGTTCCTGCAGCCAAGTAATGACTTTGAAGCATTTCAAATACCATCCACTGAGGATGAGGTATATTTCGGGAAACTACGGGCAGCTTACAAAAGAGCAACTACAGCTTTCACATGTTTTGAAGATGAAGATGGCTGGTCAGTGGTCATTCGGGATATGTTTGACGCGGTCATAGGCCGACACAGGAATAGCATGTTGCGTGTGTCCGAAGTGTAGGTGTATACTCCTCTGAAGAGCTTATGATTGTTTATGTGCTGGTTAATTTAACGGGGTATTCTATAGCCAATCGGTAAATATTGAACCAGCCACACTATTACCTAGAGTCGATCATCACACGACATCGAAAACGGTCGATTGGATCGTGTCATTCAACTCCGGTTACCCTTCTATCGGTAATCTCACAAGAGAAATCCTATGAAAACGGCCAGGCATTTCTTTTTCGCAAACTGAGGATGCTCCGCATGGTTATGAGTCACATTTTGTGGTAGTCAAAGCGAAATCTCTAGATGGGAGCTTTAATGAGTCGATGGTACAGTTGGCAACTTGGGTATCAGCAGGTCTTGAAAAAACGTCACAGCTTCAAGCACTGACGGAAGAGCTGCCCCATCAACCGAAGAGAGACATCCTTTCAGTTCTTGGAATCAGTATCGTGGGGCACATTTGGTACCTAGTTTTTGCCGTGAAAAGCAAAGATGGTGTGGTAAGTTTCTTCCAATTTCAAACACGGCATACAAGTGCGCTCGGCTAACCCGGCCTAGGCCCTATCTGGGCCAATGGGTATGGGAGATACGATGTCCTTTAAAGGTATCTTTGAGATTTCGTCAGTTTTTCAGGAGATAAAGAACTGGGGTGATGGTGTTTACTGGCCGTGGCTCCGTGATACCATTCTGAAGCCGCCCGCTCAGCTCCCCGCCGATGGAGAACCTTCAGACTAGTTCCGGTACGGAGTACTTCATGCATCGATGGCATAATAATTTTCCTCTGATATTTTCAGCTATGTCTTCCCGTATGTTCTAGCAGTGTGCGGGTCTTTTTCCTCCTTGCTAGCCAATGTCAAGAATAGTATTTTAATTTGAACCATTGCATGTCTCCCCTGTACAATAACTCCATATTAAGATCCAATGGCAGAGCCTCCTTGCAACCTGCGCCTGGTGAATGCTGAAGATCCCATTCGCCAAACAGTCGCCGAGATAACGGCATCGAAATCCATGCTATCACGCAATATTACCACACCTCGTATATCACCATGGTTTATGTCGACCGAGTCAGGTCAAATTCCGTATGCCCGTATGCCCGTATACCGTATGTGTTGATGTTGCCCACTTGCGGCTGCGAACCTTATTTTACATCACGTGATGTTTCTTAACACCGAAAGAAGCAAAAAGAGACATCGAGAGACACTTCGCGATTCAAGGTCACGATCCAAGAACAAGATCACGATCCCTGGCCACCACCTTGTCTTGAGGCGAGCAGGCGATGGATCACCAGACGTCAGCAGATCGAGCGGGGCCGATCTGATCTCTCGTCTCGCTTCACACCACAATGGCCGATTCACCGCGCGGCCACGTCCCGGGCATCGCAACTCCAGGTGCTTCTACTGGTGCTGCTCCCCCTCCACCACCGCCGCCGCCTTTACCTCCTCCACCTCCTCCAGCGCCTCCATTACCCCCCCAGCGTTATGCGAACAGAGCTACTAGTGCCCTTGCGCGTCTCGCTCATCCATTCATCTACGGTTCCAGGCCTCCAAGTCCACAGCCTACTTCCCCACTGCCAGTCCCAACACCACCTCCAGCCCTGGTGACCAGACCCAGCTATACTATTTCTCCGTAAGTTCTAATGTCTTAGACTGAATCATTCTGTCAAAGGCGCAGCGAAGTGGTGTCATTTTGATGCTTTGTTCCTTTGAAAAGCAGAGAGCTTATAATATGGTATTCTATTTTTAGTCCTGGCAGCGCCCCGATCATCACACATAAGGCAGGAATCCCAATATCAGCTGTTGATATCTCCCCACAGCGAACCCATGCCATAGTTGCCGGAAGAGAAATCCTTAAGACAATCCGCGTCACGTCTTCTCAGTGCGTTGAAGAAACAAATATCCGATCTGCTGTGATAGGCCACTCCTCGAGCCACCACCCTTCTGGACCGTCCAGTAAAAACAAGGAGCACCTAGCTACCAAGGATGTCAAGTGGTCTCATTCGGAGTATAACCGAATAATCGCCGCTGCAACAAGCAATGGGCGCATTGTTGTTTATGACCTGAGCCGCCCTGGCGTGGAATATGGCCGGTTCAATGAACATTCTCGCCAGGTCCATCGGCTTGCCTTCAGTCCCTATCGCGGCGCCTGGTTGCTTTCTGGAAGTCAGGATGCTACTGTGCGACTATGGGATTTACGCACGGTGTCCAGTGACAGATCTGCCATGCATATCGGGAGCACTAGCGTGTTTAATGGCCACAGCGAGGCTGTACGTGATATCCGATGGTCTCCTGCTGAACCTGTAGAGTTCGCCACAGCTACAGACAGTGGCGTTATTCAAAAGTGGGATATTCGTAAGGACAACGTTCCTGTTATACGGATAAATGCTCATGAAAAGGCCTGTTCGTCCGTTGACTGGCATCCCGATGGCAGACATCTCCTCAGCGGCAGTGTGGACCGCCAAGTGAAAGTGTGGAACTTCTCTTCCACTGATCGGAGGCAGAAACCGTGTCTCCAGCTAAGGACCCCGCAAGCTGTTTTAAATGCACGCTGGCGCCCACCAAGCTTGACTGGCCATGATTATGAGACTGCCAGCTGGGAATCTACTCAAATTGTTACATCATATGATCAGGAAGATCCCCGTATCCACATCTGGGACTTTAGAAGGCCACACATTCCGTATAAGGAAATTGACCGTTATACAAACTCCGCTACAGACCTACTATGGCATTCTCAGGATTATCTATGGACCGTCAGTTCGGAAGGCATATTTATGCAGGCCGATATCAGCCTGGCCCCAGAAGCTATAGAGCGAAGAGCGCCATGTGCGGTAACATGGAGCCCCGATGGCAAATTTCTCGCATTTTTCGAACCGCGCCGAAGAAGACACAAGCAGAGTTATAACTACAGCAATACAGAAACCGTTGAATCCATCCCTGTGCCTGTTCAACGAAGGGGCAAAGAGGGTGAGGACAGGCTACAAACCGCTAGCCACAGCCTTACTGATGAAGCCCCAGAGGATGGCTCTCAGGTAGTTGGGATTCGAAAACGTACAAACAAGGTATCCTCGGCAAGGAGCTCTAAATCACTCAGTGCTACCCCCCCTATGCAAGATGATGAATTACAAGTTGTTACACTTGTCAAATCGGTCGGTAATATTAAAGACATTACCAATGAACAAGATGGCATGATAGGATGTGTTGAAGGAGCAACATTCAACCCAGATGCTTTCAATTATCTGGTGCAGCATTATTCTCCGCTACTGGCGGACCCGCTCAACGAACGGAACATGTCAGTTGAAGTTGTCAAACATCTTCTAGATGGGTTAGATGAGAATACCATGCAAGCTGCCGTGGTGCGTTCTGGCCGACTGGCGCAGACTTGGCGAATTGTAAGGTATGCCATATCACAGGAGTTACTGAATCAACACAAGCAGCGTCAACTTGAGTTGAAACAAAGCAGTACCTCCAAGACGGGGCCTAAGATTGGTAGCCGCGGTAGTAGCACTAACATAATAAAGCTTGACCCAACTGTTTCCGACAAATCTAAGACTCGGATCTTCAAGGGGGTTGTGGATGGAGATTCTCAAAGACTTATGACCCTTAGCCCGGAGCCTAACTCAGGCGCTACAACTCCACTTGCACGACCCATACCTGATTCATCAATCGCTGCTGCTATAGCTGGTGGACAAGTACCCAATACAGGCTTGAATGAAGAACTTGGGCAACTCAGGCCTATCCCATCGCTGATATTATCTAGTGACGAGGTACTGAGCAAACAGGCCCAGGCGAGCGTGGCTGGTCTAGGCCTAGATAATACTGAATCTAGTTGGCTTCAAGACAGTAACGGACTGAGAACCCCGACGAACAAACGCTCAACAACTCAGTCCCATGTGGAAGACACGATTGCAGACCAGACTAGATCAGCCCCCCGAGCTATATCTGGTAGAGCGGAATGGAGGCGTGAGGAAAAACCTCGCCCTAAGCCCACTGGAGATGAATCGGCCATCAAAGATGAAGGGGAAACAAACAAAGAAGACAGTAAAGAGGGAAATGGTGACATAGTTGCGCCTCAGACTCATCAAGTGTTTCGGAAACGCCTGTTGTCAATGGAGCGTGCGGCACAGGAGAGACCATCTATTCCCGTTGCATACAAACGACACGACTCCGGCGAGAGTTTTCCTATGTTCTCAGCCTCAGACAGCTCTCACCGTACCAAATCCTTTGATGAGGCATCTTCTTCACTGACAGATGACCCTTCACGTTATGAAGGCTGGCCATCGACGACTGAAGCGTCATTACATGATATACCCGAGCTTGAAGGGAGCTCTCCTCCTAGACCCGGGAGATGGGAAAACCATAGCGACTCGATGAGCGACATGTCGTTGGAAGATTTACCCCCACAATCTGCCACAGTCGACCTTGAAAGACCTGTGAGCCCGTTACCTTTCCTGGCGGAGTCATCTCCCATAAAAAAGCCATCACGGGTTGGGTATTCTCGCCCCCCGGCACGGTTTAAACCGCATCCTAGCTCGCGAAACCCTTCTCTGCTGACTGAAACATCGGTTACGCTCCCTCTCTGCCCAAAGTCTACATCGGACACGCCTTGGGGTGTTCAAACTATCGTGAGAGAAATAATAAAACATTACTGTAGTAGCGCGTCCGTTGACATACTTTCCGCGTCCCATCTTCTCCATAAAATGCACATTCTCTACAGCTCTTGCGACGAGCTTCTGCCCCAAGGAGAAAGAGAGCTGATATTCAAAACCCTCAACGAACAGCTTCTCCGGCAGGGCATGTTTGTTGAAGCCGCCGAATTCCGACTTGTTTGCGTTCCCTCATACCCAGCTCTTTATGATTATGCTCAAAAGGATACATTCATCAACGTGTTCTGTTTTGAGTGCAATAAACCCTACGAAAATCCAATCCAGGACAATAAGTTATGCCACCGATGTAACACACCTCAACCCCCATGTACGATTTGTGTTAGTCGTAAGCCCCCTACAGAATGGGCGGCCGAAACCAACCAAAGTCCACGATCTAATACCAACCTTACCGATGGTTCTTACACTAACATTAGCCCCCTTGAAGATGGTTTAATATACCAACAACAGGAACAGCCTGGATCTCGGTTACATGGCTCAGGTCTTTGGTCATGGTGTCAAACATGCGGACATGGCGCCCACACAGCATGTTTAACTGCATGGCTAACAGATATATCTCTTAGCGAAGGTGGCTGTCCCACCCCCGGATGTTTCCATGACTGTGGGCCTGGCCCTCGACGAGAACAGAACCGCCTTGCTCAACAGGAAGCGAGCAAGAGATCGAGAAGTGCCTTCTACGGCCGAAAGCCGAGCTCAACTTTCATCAAAAGGGATTCATGGACAGCTGGCGAAAGCAGAGCAGTTGAAAGAGTGAGAGGCATTCTTGGCGGAGGGGCTCCGACCCCTGTGGAGGCTGGACCTACCGCAGGTCAGGGAAGTACCCCTGGGCTTTCTGCTGGTGGCTTAGGGCCCTCAGCTGTTATCTCTCCAAAAAAAGTCAGGCTTGTTGCTCCCGGTGAACAAGACATCGCGGGCAATGAGCACTAAAGGGCCTTAGAACTATTGATTTTTGTCGTTTTTGGTGGGTGCATTTCCACAATGCTAGACGACGAATAAACATTTCATTTTCATACCTGAGTAATGACCCTTATTGATATCATAGTTATTGGCAGACTCATTATCCCTAGTATTGTACTAGCTGTCTCATACTTTATTGTTTATATGTAATGGTTTTAGCTTACCTTAACATCATCTTGATCAAGTACATGGATCTTACTGGCCCGAAAGGAAGGTTCCAAGGTTAGGAAATTAAAATTTCGGTACGGAAAAATAAAACGCCTATCGCACTTAAGGTTACTCCCTTGTGGGGAGTGTCAAATTCAACCACATTCCCTTTCAAAGTTACTTTGATTTAATTGATTCGGTACGTTGCGGTTAAGCATCGTTTGAATCTAGGGTAGATTCTAGGATACTTACTGACTAAATCTGCCTGTCGTTGCTATCCATAGTCTCCTCTACTGCTAGGCTTATGACCGTCAGCCGTGGGTGGGCTGAATTCATCGATCACTCTCCACCCAGTTTATACGGGGATATGATCGCTCATCTCTGGCCTAGCACTGTACCTAGGACAGTTGTCGATATGTTATTACTGTTCTATGTACATCAATACTCATAGCTTTTATAAGTATACCCCCAATCCGAGCTTCTAGGCTACATCAGCTGTGGTCACCTTTTCCCAAACTCTCCAGCAATAAGAGCGGCTATCTCCGCCGATGACTGCATTTTGCCTATGTGCGAATTTCTATACGTTAGGTTTTAGATGCTTAATAAGTAGTCATCAATAGCTACCTGATTAATATTCTGGTATACTCATACGTCATATCCTACCACGATTAGCGGTAGGGAAGTGATTGTAGTAATCAATGTTACCTTTTTGGCTGTATTTATCTAGAAAGAAATGAGTTTTCATTTACTGTAAAGTGGACTTCTTCTGATAGAAGGTGCAAAATTAATCCTCACTAATTTATGGAGTAACTCTTCTAATTTATGATATGACGAGTTTGAAGTCTGGCATCAAGCCTGCAAGAAAACTACAATCTAAGAATCCTATGCCTCAAGAGAGTACATGAATATAGCCAAGGATCCATACCTAAATTATTGAAGTTTTCGAAACTCGAACAACCTAAGATAGTTACCCGATAGATACGATAGATGGCCGAGCTTGACTGTATACCGCATGCACGACCCAGAGAAAAGAGTCTCGTGAGGCTTCCATTAAGTAACTTATTCACGTTCTCCGAGTTTATTTTATATCTTTTTTCTAAGTTTCCAGGAAACGCCCAGGGAAATCTTCCCAGGTTGCTAAATATTTAAACTGTCTTTACGGAGTATTCATGCCTTGATGATTACTTCGGTTGAGGTGCATAGAAAGCGGAATGGAATTTAGACTTTGTGGCAATGTCTGGTGATATATCATTTCCGCCCTGGTGTAAGCCTGCGCTCAGCATCAAAATTCTCCGATAATGAGTAGGTGGATGGAGTATAATTGGGTAACACGCGGGAGGAGAGCCCCTCGGCAATGGTAGTGAAGCGAGGTTAAATGTCTGCATGTGCATTGGGCCTCTGAATGCTGAGCTGTTCCGCTTAAGAGTATTTAATATGTATTTCCGGGGATTAACTACCTAATAACTGACGGAAAATATGGATGATAAATAACACCATGACACAAGACGGGGATCAAGAAACCGGAACTTTGTTCGAGGATCTTCATAGCAAAATATTCCTCAGTCGCCACTGCTCCTTAAGCTGATAACCCTTAAATGATAATAAGAAGATGTGCACCAGCATAGGGGGGATCCGCTTTGCCGCTTGATCACCAAGCAGCCCAGTTCTGTGAGGCGTAAATGGGACCAGAGAGGCGATTAGAGATCTCCGAGGAATACGGAGTAGGGCTCCGTTATTCCGTGCATACACCTAGACACATATGTTAGAGCTTGAGGGTAAACATGTTTCTTCATGTGTAGACGGAGTAAACGTTTGCAGCTTCCAGATGTCACACAGCGGGTAACTAGATACCAGTTTTGAAAGACACACACTGTATGGATAGCGGGCTACAAGATCCGATGCAGTTTTTAACACAAGCACGGCACGGGGTGAATGTTGGACGAAGAGACGGCGTGGATAATGCTCGGCAGTCGCCTTTGTAATTGGTTACATGAGTTATGGCTGCTAGGTAAGATTACTCTATGTGGTAGCTCTGCAGTAATGCAAGGCGCTGCAATGATAGCGATGGTGACTTGCATTTAACAGGGAATCCAGGATTCATTGACATCATTACTTTGCACGTATGCAGGATGGATCACTTCCACATCGGTTGAACAAAGCCATCAGTTCTCATTATCGACCTGCTAAGCGTGTGGCACAGCGCCGCAGGCTCCGGTTGGCTTTGAATGTTAATGTCATGCTTTGTTATTCTTTAACTAGCCCACTGCTTAGCTAGTTAGTTATCATCATCATCCCATAGGAAACAGAAGTGACAGCACTGAGCTCCTTCTTAGATGTCAAAAAGCAAATACATAATTTTTCCAGCTGACGGGTACCCCCATACGGAGAAAGGGGCGTCCACTCAGATATGAACAACCGCCGTTCCGCATCCTGGAATCAATTTAACCGCCTGGCGTGAATGTACTGAGAACACGGGATAGTAACCTGGAAAAATCAGCCACTGTAAATTGACACAGGAGGGTTTTTCGGACACGTCATCTGTAACGGCGAGGCCATTTCTGGCATTAGCCAGCCTTGATTACAGTTCTACTACGTGTCTCTAATATGCCTAGGTTACAGTCGAGAACAGCGTAAACTTTTAACAGTGTTAAGATGACCCTTCGTACGGTCTCTCAGGGGTGAAAATGGCTGACTATACTCCGTACTGCACATGGGTCAGCACCCACAGATGTATGGAGATTTCCCACATTGTACAGAGTACGGAGTGTTAGGACGCACTCTCCGTCTTCTGTACTACACTCCGTGGTGCGGCTATACGGAAAGAATGTGAGACCTAGATTCCACATTTTGTCAAATAGAATAATGCACATAACGGGATGCAGTTACAGGAGAATGGCAACCTGTCCTGAAAATGCATATAGCCAGCCGATTTCAACACAGACGATAGGTTCCCTTTTCTCCCCCCTCACACTGCTATATCACACGAAGCTAAATCAGCAGTTCCTGCTCTCAAAGTACGGAGTGATTCGTATTGTTGAGGCTATGATAATGGTTGTGACGCGGAGTAAAGAAACGGACCTCCTTAGCGTAAAGCCAGGCCAATTCCCTGACGTTTTAGTATCATTGGTCCAGGTAAGAGGGTCTGATCGCTTGTGCATCAAGTAACACTTGTTACGATTTGAAATGAGAATTGAGCGCGTGGAAACAGTTGTTTTTGATATTTTCGTTGTTTTATTAGCCCTCTAAGTATTCCACCAGCCAAACAAACCACGCCTGGTCCAAATAGCCACTATTTAATTACCTGATGAATGATCTCCTACTGCAGCTAATGTACATATGTCGAACGGGGAGCCAGCCGTGTACATGCCTACCTCATGCACCCAAGGAAACAACCCCACATGAAGCTCGCCGGCTCAAAAATGGGTGGAAATCGAAAACGTAGAAGCCGAAACACGCTCAGCAAACCCCATGCGCCAACGGTGACTATGGGTACCAGTTAAAAGGGGAGAAAGAGAGAAAAGGAACATATTCTGAACGAAGAACAAGCTGTCGGGGGGGATTTGGCAAGGTTTTGAAAAAGAAAATGAGATAGGAAGAAAAAGCAAAATAGAGAATCCCGTTTACAGGGCACGGCACACTGGTGTCCTGGCGCAATGATCAAAGCAACGGTAGGAAAAAGAAAGAAATGGGAATGGGACTGATATGTAGCCATCAGTTGGGGGGAGGGGGTGAATCCACAAACGAAATATCAAAGTTTACTGCAGAAGGGAATTAAAATCTCGACCGATCGGCTGGCCTCCCAAGACAGTAGACCCAGAGAGCTGCTGGCTGCCATCCAGATCCAAGTCGGGGTAAAATAACGGTGATCGTGGTATAAGTTCGTTACAGCCCAAGAGGTTCTCAAGCCCATAGTCGCTCAACATGTAGTTATTCACTGTGTCTGCGGATCCATACTCAACGCAACTCGCCGTTTGAGCAAGAAAGTCAGGTTGATTGAAAGGTATATCAGAAGGAGGCGCATTTTGAGAGTTTCGGTCAAGCCTTTGAGACTCTTGCATGGCGCGTCTGTATTTGGCGGCTTTTTTAGCGGCGCGACCTCCCCTAGCTCCTGATTTTTGCCTTTGAGGGGCAGGGTGGTCTGATTTTTGGGATTTTTTGTGAACCCCAGGTTTGCGGTAACGGGTTGTGGACTGCACCCCGTGTCTGATAGCACGTTCAGTGAGGACCCAAGCGTTACCAGATTTCCGGGTTTGCGCCCCTGGCGATAAAACTTCTTTGACACCTTCGAAGGCCTAACGATGGGGAAGTAAGTAGGAAAGCTATGAAGAGTTGGGGTGGACTTCAGTATCTTACCGCATTCATGGAAAGGTTATGCCGAATGCTATTCTGCCATCCTTTAGAATCAGAGTTTTTGGCTTTGCTAGTATTCTTTTCAAACCACTCGTATATTTCCTTCAGAACCATCTTATGACCAGGGGCAGACATGAGCGCCCTCCAAATTAATCTTGCATAGGGTTCTTCGGATGAGACACTATCGTCGTCTGTCTCATCTTCAGATGCAAGGTTCCCGGCTTCTGGCACGGAACGTACAATTGGGTCAGACCCATAAAGCACATGAAAGTCAACTGGAGAACTAGATTCAACAGAGTTCTCAGGCGAGAGAGGGGGATAGATGGCGCTTTCCGGCCGAGAAGTCGAGCTATCAAATGACGGTCGAGAACAAGTAGACGCTGGATTTGGATAATGGTTATCAAGTATCTGGCTGCAATTTCTCTGCGATGGTGTGGATGTGTTTGGTTGCCTCGTTGCCTGGTATCCCAGGCATTCAAATTCGTGGAGTTCATCAAGTAGAGGATAGGTCGAGGCAAGAAGGTCAAACTCCAGGTCGATAGTTCCGGGAGCTTCGTCTTCCCAAGATAGGATGTTTCCCTTATTCTCTTCAATACCGTACGTCATTGTGTGCGTGTTGCAGAAAGTATTGGGTTCTATAACTGAGCCCCAACTTTCATGACTATGTGTTGTAGACGAAAGTTGTCGCTGTTGTGGGAGAGCGTCTCCAAGAAGATTTGGGTCAAGTACCTGTTGTAGTATTGAAGGATGAGAGATCACACACCTATGCTGATGTAGTGAGGTGGTAACAGAGCCCGGAGCGTGTTGACTTGGAGATATCTCGCCGCCCTGCGAAGTGGTAAAGGAAGGAGAGTTGCCATGATGCATCTGGGCACAGATTGAAGGGCAGAGAATGCCCGTGTCATCGTCCATATCTTCTCAACTTTCCGCAAGATTTGGGGGAACGAGCTCCATCCAATATGTTTTAGACAACGTTAAGATTTGTGGAGACGGAAGATCTCAACGACTAGGTTGAGGCCGGCTTTCCAGGAGAAGACTTGTGAGACAAGGGTATGATGAAATAGGGAAGTAACTGGATCTTCTCTAGGCAAATTTCATATATCGTCCTGCAAAATGGCTGAGTCCCGTGGGAGAACATGCCAGCTCACCTGCGCGACACGATTGCTGCAGACAACCCGTATAACTGTTGTCGAAAATGAGCAAACAAAGCAGTAAAAAAAATGGATGACTGAGAGGGCTTTTGTATGTTGGAATATTGCCCAAAAGAATGCCTTTGTGGAACAGCAATCTTTGGGATGTATACACAGCCGATTATTGATCAAGGATGCTAGGGAACTCCAAGTTCTACAGTGGTAGCCTGACGGGACGGGGAACAGGTTGGGGGAAATGTGTCAAGCAGACTAGCTTCAGACCTTGTCATGCTCGTTGGGCACAGACGGGGAGCTGCAGGAGAATATTAACCTGTCATGAGTTACATCCCGCAGAACGGTCTAGCTCAAGGTGGCTGAGTTTCAGAAAAAAGCACCGGATAGGGTCTTCTGGAAGGTCTCACAGCGCAAGGTCCGGTGAGGCTACTGTAAGCCTCCAATTAAAAATTATTGTAGATCTCCTTCAGATCCATGTCCAATAGGATGACCAAATAGCACGGCCTTGGAGATTCCCACCCTCACCGGGTTGGTACAAAGGATACGTCAATGCAGTATTGCAACGAACCTTCCATTAGAGTAGTCATATTTAACCGATTAGCCAGGCGTGGGCGGCAATAGGTTAATTATAAGTTGACATCATTTGAGCAATGTGTGCACCTACTCCTGTGGAGAAAAATTTCCCATCGGAACAATTCTTAGACTTGAAGGGAGAAATACAATAAAAAGGCCAAGTATTGGAAGCTTTAGTGCCACGAGTGTCGCCTTGAAATATGAAATCCTGAATGATATCGTAGTGCATACTGCGTTCGCTTACACCATGTGATGCAGGTGTAAAAAGCAGGTTATAACAAGTTCATTTCAACAACATCACTTACGATAGTATATCTGTAATAAGTGTTAGTCCGCATATTTGCAACGGTGGAAACGTCACTATGAGATTATACGTACCTTCTTAAATTGGAAATGAAGCTGCAAGATACCCTGAATAATGATTAGCTGAGATCCTCTAATGCATGGCAGCGGTGAGCCATATAGAATTGGAATTGGAGCATACTTTGTCAAACGTGCTCCTAAACCCCCGTTCTCGCTTTGCACTGTAGTCCCATTCCTTGTCTACAATACGGAAGGCCAAATCTTCGTAAGGTGGGCCGGCAATGAAGCGAAGCAGACATGTGTCTTCCTCCCCGGCAGGTGCAAAAGATTGCCCTCTTTTCCTGCCATGCTCTCTTTCGATGCGATAGGTTGGAGCTTTTGCCTTATCAATAAGATCCGGATAGAAGATGTTGAATTTGTACCCCTGCACAACCTTTGGAGGAGGATCATCGTAGTCATAGTGGGTTTGGTTGTATTTGTTCCATTCATATCCCATCTGCACACGGTTGAAGTATCGTGGCTTGCGCGGTCTGTACTTATTCGCCCAAGCTGGTTTAGATGTGCTGATGGTCTCTTCTCCGGCAAATATCTCCTCGTTTTCACTAATGCCCCGTGCCACCTCTCTTTCATACAAGGCTTTTGTGGCCTGGGAGAAATCATCGTTCGTCGTTGGGAGAAAGCGTGGGGCAGAAGACGTGATAGTGGAAGATTCCGATGTAACCATGGATGCAGCAACTTGTTTCTCAGTCGGGCGATTGCGCAACGGGACAAATCCCATTTTCATTATTTTCATCCTTTCTTGGGCCTAAAGGCTGTTAATCATAGGTTATGGAATAGAATTGGACGTCAAATAAACATACTATATGGCTTAGCAACTCTTCCTCATCCATAACCTCTAAATTCTTGTCTTGGCTCCGGAGTTGAAGAAGAGGTTCGGGATCGAGTAGTGCCACCTGTTCAAGCTCTTGCTGCGACGATCCAACATTCTTACATGGGGCTAGAGGCGCGAGCTTTTTCCGAACACTCTCAGCCTCTTCCTGCTGTTGCTTCCGCAGCTCATCGACGCGGTTTTTAATAACGGCACTATAAACTCGCTTCAATTTCGCACGCGCTTTCCATACCGAAAGGCTCTTTAGGAGTTGTTCCCAATAATCGGTGTCAACCGGCTCGTTAGAATCTAACTTCCGGCGTATTTGCTTTTCTAGTGTAAGGAGCTCGTCATATGTCTTTGGGCTAAGTAGTCTATCGATATCAGCAGCGACCGAAGTAACTGCACGCTTTTCTGGCGCAGAAGATTCCGCCTTTCGGATTTGGTCCTGACAGATCACTTTCATAGTCTAGATAAAGGTTAGTAACACGGAACAGTGCTATTGCCTGGTATGATACGACCTACCTTCCAGTAATCACGATTATCGGCACTAGTTTCAAGAGATAAAAAAGTATCAATGTCCTTCTCAAGGCTTAGCAGCTGTGCATTTGATAACCCTTCAAAAACTCCCTCGGGCTCCACTAAATCTAGTTCTGAGTCCGCAATTTCATCGTCTAAAGGGTTCCGAGTCGGGTCAATGACACGAAGAGTAATCGTGAGCCAGTCGATAGGTTTGGCGCGTCCATCTTTCACTCGTAATTCAGCCTTCTTCTTCGCCTGCCTGAGCACAAACGTGTCTTCCTGGGCAACCCATTCACGCATTTTTTCATCTTCTTGTAGTTGATTAAGTCGAGTTTGCTCTTTCATGTTCCAAGCACCTCGATTTGCACTCCCTTGATCCCTACTCCGAGTGGCAGATGAATACCGGTTATCGACATGTCGCTGTTTATCGGGGGGTGCATATGGAGCTGGTGAGCGAGACCTAGGCCTCTTACTGCCGTACCGATCTCTATAATTCGAGGACATATTGTGAAAAGTGGAAAAGCGAGAAAGACGATATTGAGGATTCCGTTCTGTGCGTTGCGTTGAGAGTTGCTTTCGCGTTGCAGGTATTTGATGTTGAGGTCAAAGTGACTCTGATTAGGATGGCAGCTTTTCCGAGAGCTCGGCATACCTTCCTTGTGGTCAGTTAACTATGCCACAGCTAACCGTTTAAAGTTAAACCTTCGACGCTTGTGTTAACGACTGCTGCCTACCTAGATATACAATAGATGGCTTTTGATAAATCTTGAACTGTTTACTTGTATGACTACTTCTCTAAAATTACCTAAATATGGCACGAAACTGGGAGAGGTTGCCGGTCCATAGCAGTTCATATCCACCACTTCTATTCAGTTACGAGCCAAGCTCTGATGGCTATGAGCTTTTTTTAACTGACCTGGGTCATGTTTGGTCTGAGAGCCTAAGCCATAAACAAATCATTAATCGCGCCGTGAAAGAAGATACCAGTATCGATCCCAGTCAGGATGAGGACCAGTATTCTGTACTGTTACAGAAAATTAATGATGCGCTGCACGGGTCTAAAGAGACATCGTTATGTCTTTCTGGCCACAGCACCGGATCGAGTTTAAAACTGTCGACCACTACGAAGTTACCAAAACCCTTAGAGCCTTTAAAATGGACGTTGAACTTATCCAAATGTTCTCCATCTGCATTAACACGACATATGCTAGTGCCAACGTTGCAAAGCTGGCTGGGCCTTGAAGATAGTCAGCAATCTCTTTGTGAACTATTAGAGGAGAAAGATAAGATAATTGGAAAGCTTTTCGACAAAATAGAGTCCTCGGGACTTGATTTGAGTACGGTTTTTCCTGGGATGGCGAATATACGACAAGGCCAAAAGAGAGGCTCCCTTTTTTCACACGCTTCCAGATTGGTGAAAGGACTGAGCCCATTTGACAAAAGTTCTTGGGAGGCTGTACATTATCGCAGAGTTTCGGAGAAATTTGGTTCAAATTCAATTCGGAAACACTTGTACGATGATGATCTGTTTGACGTACGGAATATGGAACTCATAGAAAGCGAATGGTGGAATCGCCCTATATCATCCCGTGGCTCCAACCACACTGGGAAAGAAGTTCCACACGATATTAAGAGACAGCCAAAAAACAATGAGAATGAAAGCGATGATGAATTTCAAGTATTCCTACCTGTTCGACATATCTCATGACCACAATGCTAACTTCCAGTGTAGAGGCAAGAAACGCCCCCACGGCTCAAAGGAACCAGTATAAAGCCCTCATCGACCATTACCGGTCATCCTTCTTCGACACAACACGGGAACAAACATAAGAGATCTTCCCAGGAATCCGGGAGCCTAAAAGATACAGGTTCAATGGAAAACATGAAGACAGAAACACCGTCAATCATTGATTACAGTAACCCCGAACCAACCCCACGTCAGGAAATTAAACCGAAGGCTCTTGGTAATATTGGTGGGAAGAAGCCCAAGTCATTAACAAGGCAACAAGGGCTTGATCCTGCCACGTTGGACGCAGATAAGGCCGTTAACAAACCCACAGAGTCTAGCATGGAAGATCAGGCCACCCCACTAGCAACAGAAAGTGGTGAGAGTGATGACAACGATGACGATGTCAATGATAAAAGAGTTAGTAGAACCACGAGGCAAGCTTTACACCAACAAAATCACAGTGGCTCTCAAAGGACCAATACAACAACCCAGATAGCTCAGCGGGAAAGCCAGGCTGCTCTGCGTACACGCAGTGGGCTCGGAAGAATCGGTGGGAAGAAACAAAAAGAACCATTAGACCTCAATCCGGGTGGGGAAGAAGCTGCCTCTGCAGCAAGCTCTAGGGACAAGACGGATAGCCCTGAAGCAGGGGAAGAAGACGGGGGCCGCTACAACATTACGAGCAAACAAGAGGAACCCGACTTGTCACATGGACATAAGGAGCAATCAACGACATCCTCTAAGTCATGCAAACGGAGCGGTAAACTTGGCACCATTGGTGGAGTGAAAGCTTCTCACAAGTCGGCCATGACCAATGTCCAAGGAAGGAATGCCTCTAACACCGAAATTTCACAAGATAGTGAAGATGGTGGTCATCATGACACTAACAAGTTGATTGGTAAAGAAGGAGATCCTACAAATCCATCACTTTCGTTGCCGTCTATGTCTAGTACTACGGGTGAACCGAAAGCAGAGAGCAATCAAGTTAAAGAGGAGTCTCCGGAGGAGAGGGCAGATAGGAAACGACAGGAACTACGACGCCAGCTTGAGACAGCCGATAAGGGCCAAAGCAAACCGGCAAAGAAGAAACGAAGGTTTTAGGATGGAGTGTTGTCTCTTTAGGTGTCGGTGCAGATTACTCTGTTTTTCGTTTCACTTATTTATCTATTCGTAATATGGACGATAATTACAGAGTATGTGGCTATCTATCCCACTTGTCTCGTTCAAATATCTAGGACGTTGTGCTGTAACCCTCACCACTTCACGTAAAGTGCCTTTCTTTAGATGGTGGAATGAAATTCATACAGAGTAATTGTCTACGATTGGGCCTGAAGTACCTGAACATCTGGGAGTATGTTGAGCTTCTGATCCCGGAAAGAAACAACCTAGATGTTTCGTGAAGCTCGTATACCAACTATGCTAGCGGCGCGTAAAGTGAGGAATATTGCGATTCTACTTTTGTATAAAGAGCATACGAGCGGTTGTCTGGTCACAGTTGACAAGACGTTTGGCAGGTTTGGGAAGTTGCTTGTCATTAACAGTTGCTGGATTTGGAGGACAGCACAGGTGAAAGATGAGAATATCCCAAACAACATCACACTAGGCAGGAGATGTTCCGACTTTGAAAAGTATTGCCCGTACACTAAAAAAGGACAGGCTGATAATGCATTTCGTAATTATATTCTTTTCATTTTGGGAACTCCCACCAATAACAGAGATGGTATTCCCGCCCCAAACTCCGATTGTGATAGAGTCTTGATTCCCGTTCGTTCAAGGTATCACTGTGTCACTCTGGTATACCCCTTTAATACACCCACGACCCCACAAGGCAAGTTATCTATCGCTTCTTGGACGAGGTGGCGGCCTTCTCCTGTGACTCCTTGAGAACCTTCTTAACAATCTTCTGCTCCTCAATCAAGAAAGCGCGGACAATGCGGTCCTTGACACAGTTTCCGCAGCGGGAGCCACCGTAGGCGCGGGTGACGTTCTTCTTTGGGCGAGAGATTTGGGAGTATTCACGGGGACGGAGAGCAGGAATCTTTAGTATGTTAAAGAGAAAGAGTCAGTTGACGGGCTTTGCGGAGTATCGTTATAAACGCTGCCGGCTGAAAAAGATCCCCTTGGTATCCAAAAATAGCCACTTGCATCCATGGGAAATTGTTTCGTTGGCCGTTCAATTGGGGGTTACTCACGCCTGGGAGCTTGATTCCACAGTCACCGCATTTTGGAGCCGAGGCCTTCTTCTTGATGTGAAGGTATCGAAGGCTGCCGCCTGGGGTCTTGATGACACGGACCTTGTTAGATCGCGTGTTGTATCTAGTCGCAAAGCAGTATTAATCATTTGAACGCCGATAATTTCACTTCAATCGCAGGGAAATCTGCTTGGTTGGGCACATACGGGTTCCGTCGTCGCTAGAAATTGAATGAGAACATTAGCAGCTTCTCTAACCAAAAGAAGTCAAATGGAAGACCCCAACTCACATATTGAAGTCTTGTGGAAGTCATCTTGTCGGCTTTCCAATCTCAACAGCTGGCGAGATGAAGGGGAGGGACTGGAGTGACAGCTGGGCGACGTCGTCTCTTTTTCGTTGTCGTCGATATCAAATTTCGAAAGTCTTCACGAAAAACGAACTAAGCGATTTGTGTGGGTTGGCCAAGTCACGGGACCAGAACTCTCCTTTTGGCGAGCCCGCACTAGTCCATGTCGGGACAAGAAGCACGTTGCGGAAGAATAGTATTCCCGTTCCCAAAGCGGCATGGCTGCAAAACGCGCCTCGACGTCTTTTTTTTCATCAAAGCAAAGCAAAAAGTCAAGAAAGCAAGACAGACAGAAAGACAGGCAGAGACGACAAGACAGCGCTTCGGATGTGTTTTGGCCGCACTCCAAGCTTTATACCTCTGTGTCAACCTGTCACGCTCTCCCTCTCTCTCTCTTTCTTTAATTATCTTTTGCCATTGTATTTATAATCCGTTTCTGTTTCCGGGCTAGAGCTATAAAAACGCCCCATGTCTGGTGTGAAGTATCTCAACCGAGCACTCCTTAAACTCGATCTCTCAAACGGAGAACAATAATTGCCTTCGGCTCTTTCTACGACGAGGTGACTGCTCGTCATGGCGTCTCTCCCTCCGCCTCCTCCTCCGGGATGGGGGGCTGCACCTCCACCCTCGATGCCTCTTGCACCTCCGCCGCCAGGTTACCGACCAGCACCAAACCCAATGCTCACTAAATTCGAACAGAAGAAGAAAGAATGGCTCCGGAGCCAGCGCAATCGCTTTGGGGAGAAAAGAAAGGCAGGGTTTGTTCAGTCCCAAAAGGATGACATGCCGCCAGAACATCTTCGGAAGATTGTTAAAGATATTGGAGACGTGTCGCAGAAGAAATTCAGCACCGATAAGCGCAGCTATCTTGGGGCTTTGAAATTTATGCCACATGCTGTACTGAAGCTTCTAGAGAACATGCCTATGCCTTGGGAGTCTGCGAGGGAGGTCAAAGTCCTCTACCACGTCAACGGATGTCTGACGCTGGTTAATGAGACGCCGCGTGTTATAGAACCTGTCTTCCATGCACAGTGGGCGTCGATGTGGGTGTGTATGCGACGTGAGAAAAGCGATAGACGACACTTTAAACGTATGCGCTTTCCTCCTTTCGACGACGAAGAACCTCCGCTGTCATGGTCGGAAAATATTGAGGACGTTGAGCCTCTCGAGCCAATTCAAATGGAGCTTGATGAGGCCGAGGATAGCCCCGTTTTTGAATGGTTTTATGATCACAGGCCACTGCTCGATACCCCTCATGTGAATGGGCCAAGTTATAAGGAGTGGAACCTGACTCTGCCGCAGATGGCTACCCTCTATCGGTTAAGTCATCAACTGCTCAGTGACGTCGTGGACAAGAATTATTTCCACATGTTTGAACTGAACAGCTTTTTAACGGCCAAGGCTTTGAACGTTGCCATTCCCGGTGGCCCCAGGTTCGAACCTCTTTACAAAGACATTGACCCTAACGATGAAGATTTCGGCGAATTTAATGCTATTGACCGCATTATATTCCGTGCCCCTATAAGAACAGAATATAGGGTTGCATTCCCATACCTCTACAACTCCCTGCCAAGGAGTGTAAAAATTTCTTGGTACTCTCATCCTCAGGGTGTTTATGTCAGAACCGAAGACCCCAATCTTCCAGCTTTTTACTTTGATCCTATCATAAACCCAATATCCTCTCGATCTGTTGCGCCACAAAATATAACCGTCAGTCATGAAGATGAGATATTTGGTCATGGAAACGACGAAGACGATTTCGAGCTGCCAGCCGCTGTTGAGCCATTTTTAGCCGATGAAGAGCTATACACCAGCGAGACAGCATCTGCCATAAGCTTATGGTGGGCGCCTTATCCATTTGACCGGCGGTCTGGAAGAATGGTTCGTGCGCAAGATGTGCCCCTGGTAAAACAGTGGTACTTGGAGCATTGCCCTCAGGGCCAGCCAGTTAAAGTTCGAGTATCCTACCAAAAGCTACTTAAGACATATGTTCTCAACGAGCTTCATAAGCGGAAACCCAAGGCTCAGAATAAACAGAACCTTTTGAGAACATTAAAAGGCACTAAGTTCTTTCAGCAAACCACCATCGACTGGGTTGAGGCTGGTCTTCAAGTTTGTCGACAGGGATTTAACATGCTGAACTTGCTTATCCATCGAAAGAATTTGACTTACCTGCACTTGGACTACAACTTTAACCTGAAACCAGTGAAAACATTGACCACAAAGGAACGAAAGAAATCTCGGTTCGGAAACGCTTTCCACTTGATGAGAGAAATTCTCCGTTTGACGAAGTTGATTGTTGATGCCCAAGTTCAGTATCGTTTGGGAAATATCGATGCTTTCCAGCTTGCTGATGGTATCCTCTATGCCTTCAACCATGTCGGTCAATTGACCGGGATGTACCGATACAAATATAAACTTATGCACCAGATTCGATCATGCAAGGATCTGAAACATCTTATTTACTACCGGTTTAATTCCGGCCCAGTCGGTAAAGGCCCTGGATGTGGTTTTTGGGCACCTGCCTGGAGAGTCTGGCTCTTCTTTCTCCGTGGTATAATCCCCCTTCTTGAGAGATGGCTTGGCAATCTTCTGTCAAGACAATTTGAAGGCCGTCATAGTAAAGGTGTCGCCAAGACTGTCACTAAACAGCGTGTTGAATCTCACTTCGATCTGGAACTGCGAGCTTCTGTCATGGCAGATTTGATGGATATGATGCCAGAAGGTATAAAACAAAACAAGGTTAATACCGTCCTTCAGCATTTGTCAGAGGCATGGAGGTGCTGGAAGAGCAATATTCCCTGGAAAGTGCCCGGCCTGCCAGCTCCCATCGAAAACATCATCCTACGATACGTAAAGAGCAAGGCAGACTGGTGGATATCGGTTGCTCATTACAACAGGGAGCGAATTCGTCGTGGAGCTACTGTTGATAAGACCGTCGCCAAAAAGAACCTTGGAAGGTTAACCCGTTTGTGGCTTAAAGCTGAACAAGAAAGGCAGCACAACTACATGAAGGACGGACCTTATGTGTCTTCAGAAGAGGCTGTTGCTATTTACACAACGACAGTTCACTGGCTAGAATCTCGAAAGTTCTCTCCGATTCCTTTCCCTAGTGTATCATATAAACATGATACTAAAATTCTGATCTTAGCCCTTGAGCGATTGCGCGAGGCTTACTCAGTAAAAGGTCGTTTGAACCAGAGCCAGCGGGAGGAACTTGCCCTTATTGAACAGGCCTATGATTCTCCTGGCACTACCCTTGCGAGAATCAAACGATTCCTTCTTACTCAGCGAGCTTTTAAAGAAGTTGGCATTGACATGAACGATAACTACAGTCATATCAACCCGGTATACGATATTGAACCTATCGAAAAGATCACAGACGCTTACCTTGACCAATATCTTTGGTACCAGGCCGACCAACGACACTTGTTCCCCGCCTGGATCAAGCCATCTGATTCCGAGGTGCCTCCTCTCTTGACATATAAATGGGCCCAAGGCATCAACAACCTGTCTAATGTTTGGGAGACTGCTGACGGTGAATGTAACGTCATGATTGAGACGCAGCTGTCTAAAGTATATGAGAAGATCGATCTAACGTTACTAAACCGCCTTCTCCGTCTTATCATGGACCATAACTTGGCCGATTATATCACGTCAAAGAACAACGTCCAACTTAATTACAAGGATATGAACCACACCAACAGTTATGGTTTGATCCGCGGCCTCCAGTTCTCCGGGTTCGTATTCCAGTATTATGGCTTGGTCATCGATTTGCTCCTTCTGGGTCTACAGAGAGCAAGTGAAATTGCTGGCCCACCACAGAGTCCAAATGATTTCTTACAGTTCAGAGACCGTGCTACCGAAAGCAAACACCCCATTCGTCTTTATACCAGATATATTGACAAGATTTGGGTATTCTTCCGGTTCTCAGCAGATGAATCGCGTGATTTGATTCAGCGTTTCTTGACAGAACAGCCTGATCCTAATTTTGAGAATGTTATCGGCTATAGGAACAAAAAGTGCTGGCCGAGAGATTCGAGAATGCGCCTCATGAGACACGATGTCAACCTTGGCCGTGCTGTTTTTTGGGACTTGAAGAATCGCCTTCCACGATCCATAACAACTATTGAGTGGGACGACACATTTGCAAGTGTCTACAGCAAGGATAATCCAAACCTGTTATTCTCCATGTGTGGCTTCGAAGTTCGTATCTTGCCGAAAATACGTAACCAAAATGAGGAATTTTCCGTCAAAGACAGCGTCTGGTCTCTATCAGACAATACAACAAAAGAGCGAACTGCATATGCCTTCCTACAGGTCACAGAGGAAGATATTCAAAAATTCAATAACCGCATCCGACAGATTCTGATGTCTTCTGGCTCTACCACCTTCACGAAGATTGCCAATAAATGGAATACTAGTCTGATCGCTCTTTTCACCTACTACCGAGAAGCCGCCGTCTCAACTGTCAACTTGCTGGACACTATTGTGAAATGTGAAACCAAAATTCAAACTCGAGTCAAAATTGGTCTCAACTCAAAGATGCCATCACGCTTCCCTCCTGCTGTCTTTTACACTCCCAAAGAACTAGGAGGTTTGGGTATGATTTCAGGATCGCACATTCTTATTCCAACTAGTGATAAGCGATGGTCGAAGCAGACAGACACCGGTGTCACTCATTATCGAGCGGGCATGTCTCACGATGAGGAGACCTTGATCCCAAACATTTTCAGATACATAATTCCTTGGGAGGCTGAGTTCATTGACTCCCAGCGTGTCTGGATGGAATACTCTCAAAAGCGTCAAGAGGCAAATCAACAAAACCGAAGGCTGACTCTTGAAGACCTAGAAGATAGTTGGGATCGTGGACTTCCCCGTATCAATACCCTTTTCCAGAAGGACCGCAGCACATTGAGTTTTGACAAAGGTTTCCGTGCCAGAACAGAATTTAAGATATATCAGCTGATGAAAAGCAACCCATTCTGGTGGACAAGTCAGAGACATGATGGGAAATTGTGGAATCTTAATGCCTATAGAACCGATGTCATTCAAGCTTTGGGCGGTGTTGAAACAATTCTGGAACACACTCTTTTCAAAGCCACAGCATTCCCCTCCTGGGAAGGCCTGTTTTGGGAACGGGCATGCCTTGCAAACGGTACGATGCTGCTTCGATACGACCACTCTCAAGTTGCCGTCGAGGACGTTAAAGAAGGTGATCTGCTTCTTGGCCCGGATGGAGAGCCCCGACGTGCTTTCAATATAGTCAGCGGCAAAGATCGACTCTATCGCATCAAGATTGGGAGCCGCAAGGAAGATCTTGTTGTTACAACAAACCACATCTTAGTTTTATACAAAGAGAAGAGTGGCTCTAATAAATTGGAAGCGAACATTGACTCTTCAGAAAACAAAGTTGAAGACACCATTGTCACTTTAGCTTCTCAAGAGGCCTCCGCATCTGAACAATATGAAACCGTTGAGATGACCGCCGATGAGTTCTATGCTTTGAAGCCCGAGGAGAGATGCAAGTATAGGCTCTTCAACTCCCCTGGTTTCGATCTTCCCGAGCAATCAGTCCCTTGCAGCCCATACTTCCTTGGGCTTTGGCTTGGAGATAATAGCCGACGTACAGCCACTACTCACGACCACTCCCAAGAGGCAGGTATTCGAGGATTCCTGGTTAGGCATGCTGCAGAACTCGATCTACATAGTCAGCTAGGACCGCAGAAGACTGGAGCAACCGGCACTGAGTCCATTATTTCACAACGCCTTGCCGCTGGGTGGACGTTCCAGACTGGTGTCTGGGAGCCACCTACTACAATCTCCATTCCCAATAGTGCACCACCGCAGGCTAACTCTAACAATCAATCCGTGGGTCTTGTTGAAGATCCAAAGGCGGCGAAAGAGGGCGATCTGGACAGCTATTTAGATATCCTGGGCACTGTTAGTGAGATTGATGATGGCCAATTCGATAACTCTCCGCGGGCTAAGCAAAGTGTTCGCCTTCAGACTGGTCACAGTGCTTACGGTACTCTTCGAGAGGAAGAACAAGAACAACTCCTTCAACAGGTCCTTGGAAAATCTCCAAATAGTTCGGGCGTTGATTCACTTCTTCGGGTGCTTCATGGCGTTGGTGCGGCCGCAGATTCTAGATCAACTAGTCTTGAAACCGATCATAAGCGGATTCCTAGTGTTTTCTTGAACAATTCGCGTGCTGTCCGACTTGCCGTCCTCGCAGGTTTGCTCGATAGTGAAGGATGGTACATCCATCCAGAGAACATGTTTGGCTTCAGCAGCGAACAATGTCATTCAGCTCTGTTCTGGGATACTGTTGCACTGGCGCGCTCACTTGGCTTTGGTGTATCGACTACACAAAAAACGATGTGGAATTCAACTCGTACCGCGCAATGCCCTCAGCAATTTGCACAGATATCTGGCAATTTGAAGGAAATCCCATGTCTTCTATCTCGAAAAAAGGCATTGGATCAATTTATTCCTCAGTCTCATAGCTTTGTGATCGAGGATATCACCCTAGAACCTGAAGCTACTGGATGGGCTGGTTTCCGAGTTGATAAAGATCAGCTGTATCTACGACACGATTATCTTGTGCTTCATAACAGTGGATTCGAAGAATCGATGAAGTTTAAGAAGTTGACCAATGCGCAGCGATCCGGTTTGAACCAAATTCCTAACCGTCGTTTCACTCTATGGTGGTCCCCGACTATAAATCGAGCAAATGTTTACGTTGGTTTCCAGGTGCAGCTTGATCTCACAGGTATTTTCTTGCACGGCAAAATTCCAACTTTGAAAATATCTTTGATTCAGATATTCAGAGCGCATTTGTGGCAGAAAATCCATGAATCTGTAGTTATGGATCTGTGTCAAGTTTTCGACCAAGAGCTAGAGCAGCTTGGCATCGAAACTGTGCAGAAGGAGACAATTCATCCACGAAAATCATATAAGATGAACAGTTCATGCGCAGACATCCTCTTATTCGCAACTCATAAGTGGAATGTGACAAGGCCTTCCCTCTTGTTCGACACAAAGGACGTGATTGAAGCAACTACAACCAACAAATTCTGGCTTGATGTGCAACTCAGATACGGAGATTATGACTCGCACGACATTGAACGTTATGTACGAGCCAAATATCTCGACTACACAACCGACAGCATGAGTATCTACCCATCCGCTACTGGTCTGATGATTGGTATTGACCTCGCCTACAACCTTTACTCTGCTTACGGACAGTACTTCCCTGGCTTGAAAGCACTCATTCAACAGGCTATGGCCAAGATCATGAAGGCGAACCCTGCTTTGTACGTGCTAAGAGAGCGTATCCGCAAGGGTCTGCAGCTATATGCTTCTGAAAGCAACCAGGAGTTTCTAAACTCTCAGAATTACTCTGAGCTGTTTAGTAACCAAATTCAATTATTTATTGATGATACGAATGTCTACCGTGTGACTATTCACAAGACATTTGAGGGAAACTTGACGACCAAGCCAATAAACGGTGCCATTTTCATTTTCAATCCAAGAACGGGCCAGCTTTTCTTAAAGATCATTCATACCAGTGTCTGGGCTGGTCAGAAACGTTTGGGCCAGTTAGCCAAATGGAAGACAGCCGAAGAAGTTGCTGCCCTTATTCGATCATTGCCCGTTGAAGAACAGCCCAAGCAACTTATTGTAACCCGAAAGGGTCTTCTTGATCCTCTTGAGGTGCATCTGCTTGATTTCCCAAACATCTCTATCCGAGCGTCAGAATTGCAACTTCCATTCCAGGCTGCAATGAAAATTGAAAAACTCGCCGATATGATCCTCAAGGCCACGGAGCCGCAGATGGTTCTATTTAACCTTTACGACGAGTGGCTTAAGACTATCTCCTCATACACCGCATTCTCCCGACTCGTTCTGATTCTTCGAGCTTTACATGTGAATATTGAAAAGACTAAGATCCTTCTGCGGCCTGACAAGACGGTTATTACCCAGGAGCATCATATCTGGCCGACCCTCTCGGATGAAGACTGGATAAAGCTCGAAGTCCAGCTTCGAGACCTGATTTTGAATGACTATGGAAAGAAAAACAATGTCAATGTCCAGAGTCTCACAGGCAGCGAGGCTCGTGATATCATACTGGGTATGGAGATCAGTGCACCTTCTCTTCAGCGCCAACAAGCTGCCGAAATGGAGAAGCAGCAGCAGGAACAGAAGCAGTTGACAGCCGTTACAACCAAGACTCAAAACGTTCGTGGCGAGGAGATCATTGTTACTACTACTTCCCAGTACGAGCAGCAGTCTTTTGCATCGAAAACTGAATGGCGAACTCGGGCAATTGCCACATCCAATCTACGCACACGAGCCAATAACATCTACATCTCGTCCGAGGATATCCAGGAAGATGGCCATTTCACTTACATCATGCCAAAGAACATCTTGAAACGGTTCATTATGATTTCTGACCTTCGCGTTCAAGTTGCCGGGTATTTGTACGGAAGCTCGCCTCCAGATAACGACCAGGTCAAGGAAATCCGGACAATTGTAATGATACCACAAGTTGGTAATACACGGGATATACAGCTCCCCCAGCAGCTGCCTCAGCATGAATATTTGAATGGTCTGGAACCACTGGGGATCATCCATACCCTATCCGGCAACGAACCGACATACATGACAGCAATGGATGTGACACAGCACTCGCGGCTAATGAACGCACATTCATCATGGGACAAAAAGACTGTGACGATGACCGTTTCATTCACCCCAGGCTCCGTTTCGCTTTCGGCCTGGGCTCTCACTCCTCAAGGCTATAAGTGGGGCGCCGAGAACAAGGACACAACATCCGATCAACCGCAAGGCTTTTCAACCAACATGGGTGACAAGTGCCAGCTTCTGCTCAGTGACAGGATTCGTGGATATTTCCTAGTTCCGGAGAACAATGTCTGGAACTACAGTTTCATGGGAAGTTCTTTCAGCAGTGTGGAGAAGCGGCCTATCTACGTCAAGGTCGACACTCCGATGGTAAGCCTTTCCCCGGTCGTTTTTTACAGTTAACTATATCTAGTAAGTCGTGACTAACATATTTTTCTCCGTCATATAGAGGTTCTACGATGATCAGCATAGACCATTGCATTTCCAAAACTTCGCCGAGTTGGAGGATATCTGGGTTGACAGAACGGATAACTTCGAGTGATCTGTTCTAAATAGCCCATGTCAACTTTTATTTACTTCTTCCATTGCGTTATTAGTTTCCTATCTTTTTTTGTCTTTCTATAACTCCTCAACGGTCCCTTGAGGATATGTATGCTATGGAGCCGGTGTATAACCTTAGGCGTTTTGATGTTTTGTGAAGAAAAATAACGATATGCCGAATCAATTTACGTATTTGATCTGTAATCAACACTCTGTATAATTCGCTGGGCTCTACTGGTGTGCGTCGCATGTCTTAATTATTCAACTCGTAGGTAGGTTTTCTGGCATTAAGTTAGTATTGGAGATCATCTAACTAGCCCATTACGGTCTCCGGTCACCGGCCAAGCACGCCCTTGTAGGCAGGGCGATTAACTATATATTTCGCCTGTTGAACAAACGGACAGTTTTCTCCTATCATTCGCCTAGTTACTTAGTTTCTCTTTAATGGAATAGATATCATTTTTCATAACACTTGAAGTTCGAGTACGTTCTTTTCTTGCAACGGTGGACCATCTGAGAGTTATGTCTTTTGATTTCGATTCTTACTTCAAGCGACTTGATCCCTTGAACCGCTGGACGGTCGAACGACTTACCGGTGGGCTTGTCAATCTCACTGTCCGTGCCACAAAGAATAGAACTGGGAGTGATGAGAATGAGGGGTTTAACAAGCCTGGTCGATTCAAGGGCTACCAGAGTTTGATATTGAAGTATGCGCCACCCTTTGTGGCCAGTGTGGGCGAAACTGCACCATTCGACCAGATCCGACAGGTGAGGCTAGACATAGCCCCATTCGTTCTTCACCTAGACCAGGTGATGTTTTACGGCCATGCTAACCAATGATGTAGAACGTTGAAAAGAATGCCCTTACACTCTTTTCCGAGCCAGATGGCCCGCTTGTATCTATCTTAACAGAGACATCCATACGCGTTCCAAGCCTGGTATTTCATGACGTCGAATCCAATGTCCTAGTACTTGAAGACCTAGGCCTGTTGCCGCCACTATCGGATCTTCTCTCAATTTCATGGATACCCTCTCGCTATCCAGGCTGGCCTTCATTGTCTGGGTCCTACTTTTTGGAAGATTGCTCACTATGCTTATCTATTGGTGAGGAATTTGGTCATTTTTTTGCTAGTATTCACTCTAGGAAGACGCTGGACCTGATCAAGTCATACGGCTGTGACCCTAAACTCACCCAGTTCGAGAACGGTAGCATGAAAGAGGTAGTGCGAGAAGCAGCTGTGTCAACCATGCGACAACATCTTGTTCAGTTTGACTGTTCTGAGGCAGAGAAATTAAGCCAGGCTGTTGAAGAAGACTTTGAACGCCTGGAAGTATGGGATGGCGAACAATGTTTTAACGTTGGTGATCTATGGCCAGGTGGTGTCCTTATTGAGGACTTACCGTTGCGGCTGCTTGGGGATAAACGAACCCGGGAGCCACCCAAATTGCCTAAGCTTGGGGTTATTGACTTTGAGTTCTCAGGTCCTGGCCGTGGTGTTAACGGTGACATGGCACAGCTCCTCGCCCATCTCCATTTATACCACCTTGCATGGGATAATTGTGGCGAGCGATTCAAGCCTATTCAGGATGGGGTTCTGTCATTGATCGAGGGAATTTGTTCATCATACGCAAGGCATAGCCGCTCAATTGGGGCTCCATGGCAACTTTACCCCTCTGGATCATCATGTTCTGAGAGCCCACGAAAGCCACTCCAGACATCTTTACCACCACCTGCATCCTCACACGCTGCTCAAATGTTTCGTTCGTCTCTTATTCTACACGGACGAGAGATGGTAAACAACGCGGTTGAGGTCGATTGGAGTAAATACTGCATGAAAGAACCTGGCAATGACACAGACATCACGGATAAAGGCACCAATAATAAGGGCAGTGGATTGACTGAGAGAATGATCAACACGGGGGTCCAATGTCTTCAGCTAGCCGGAAACAGTATTGAAAGTTTTGTCGAAGCTGACAACTGGGGGCAAGTCTGCTCGAGTGGTGAATCCTCAATGATTGCTAGTCTATTCATCATTGATAGAAGCCCTCTAGTTTGAATATCTACACTTTATAAGGTCCTCCATCCACCTGACTGCGAATACTTTCCAATGTCCGCTGCTTATTCTCCATCTTATCTTATCTGCTTCCTTGAGCCGCGCGCGGCCAAAATCACATCACGTGCCAGTTAACTCGCGGCTGGCGCTAAACCGCTTCTGGCGCGCGTTTTCTGGTGGCAGAAAAAAAAGGTAAAAACGAAGGCGGCGACGCGAAAGTCGCTCCACCCAAGAAAAAAAAAAAGGGCACAAGTTTCGTGACTTCGATTTTTTTTTTTTTCCTTTCCTTTTCTCTTTTCTTCCTCCCCCCTGGCAGAAGCCAGGAGAGGGACCCCTACGTTTATAGTTGAATATAAGTAGTGATTCTGTTTCTTTGCTTCTGTATAATCAAGTGTTACGGATTGTTTCCTCTCTCTTTCTTTACTCATACCTAAACCGCCACGATGAAATACGTACTTGTTTCTGGAGGTAAGCCTGCAGCATTGTTTGACTTGAGTTTCCTATTTCTCACATCCCATATGATATGGGATGTGGGAGGATCATGTTGCGAACAGTTAGATATATTATGGGAAATCATTTGGTTAATATCTTTATTGTCGATACAGGTGTGATCAGCGGCATCGGAAAGGGCGTAATTGGTATGCATCTAACTTGATATTTCTATCATATGCCGGGTGCTGGGCAGTCCCAAAAATGAAAGCTCTACTCTGAATATGCGTGCCCTAACAATTATAAATTATACAGCTTCTTCAAGTGGACTTCTCTTGAAGACCGATGGCCTCAAGATAAGTTTAACCTTGTCGATAACGCGATTGGATCACTAGCTCTAACTATCGATGCACGTTACCTCTATCAAGATCGACCCCTACATGAACGTAGACGCCGGGACTATGGCACCTACGGAGTATGTAATAAATTGACCCATTTCCCTAGAAGTATCGTCTGACCATGGGTGACTAGACATGGTGAGGTCTTCGTGTTGAACGACGGTGGTGAGGCTGATCTAGACCTCGGAAACTATGAGAGGTACTTGAATGTCACTCTCTCGCGAGATAACAACGTGAGCCTGTTGTACACCCCTTATAGCGTAGTATATCGTTACTAATTGTGTATAGATTACTACTGGAAAGATGTACAAGCATGTTATTGAAAAGGAACGGCGAGGGGATTACCTTGGCCGTACAGTCCAGATTGTCCCCCACCTCACAGATGCTATCCAAGATTGGATAGAGCGTGTAGCTAGGACTCCTGCTGACGACAGTAACGAGGAGCCCGATGTCTGTGTTATTGGTACGACTATTGAATCAATAAAGGCAAAAGGAGCATAGTGAAGCTAAACTGAATTTATTCTAGAGCTTGGTGGAACTCTTGGTGATATCGAGAGTGCTCCCTTTGTTGAGGCCATGCGTCAGCTGCGCCGCCGTGCCGGAAAGAACAATTTCCTTCAGATTCACGTCTCGCTTGTCCCTGTAATTCATGGGGAGTTGAAGACTAAGCCTACCCAGCAGGCCATCCGAGATGCGCGCTCAGCCGGTTTGAGCCCTGATCTGGTATGCGACTTAGGCAGAAATCAATTAGAGCATATAGCCGTTTAGCTTGTCCGTTTGCTAACAATGGATCGAACAACAGATTGCCTGCCGCTGTGAAAGGGCTCTTGACAAAGCCACCACTGATAAGATTGCTATGTTCTGTCAGGTTGAACCTGAACAAGTTATTGGAGTTCACGACGTTGCTTCGACATACCATGTCCCTCTCCTTCTAGAACAGCAAGGTTTCCTCGGCCAACTTCGTGATATCCTGAAGATTGATGACTTGACTATTCCTCAAAATTTTATAGACAAAGGCCAAAAAACTTGGAAACAGTGGAAGGCTCTGACGACCTCCCAAGAGCATGTCTATAGTACTGTCAACATTGCCCTTGTTGGTAAGTATGTCAGTCTCCACGACTCCTATCTCTCCGTCATAAAATCTTTGGAGCACTCCGCCATGGCTTGCCACCGAAAACTTAAGATTACCTGGATTGATGCCTCTAATCTTGAGAAGGCAACCGCGGAGGCAAATCCAGAGGCCTTCCACAAAGCCTGGCACGATATGTGCACCGCTGACGGCATTCTTGTTCCTGGCGGTTTTGGCACTCGTGGCACCGAAGGTATGGTTGCTGCCGCTCACTGGGCTCGTACCAAGGGCAAACCGTACCTTGGTATCTGCCTCGGCATGCAAATAGCCGTCATTGAGTACGCCCGCAACGTCTGCGGGATCTCCAAGGCCAGCTCCATCGAATTTGATGACCGCACTTCTGATCCTGTCATCGTTTTCATGCCTGAGATTGATCAAGTCAACCTTGGCGGCACCATGCGTCTCGGGTCTCGACCAACAATCTTCCAAAAGGATAGTGAATGGTCGAAACTCCGAACGCTTTACGGACTTGATCGTGCTTCTATCGATGAACGTCACCGTCACCGCTACGAAGTCAACCCTGAATACATCGATGTTCTCCAGAAAGCCGGACTTCATTTCATTGGTAAGGACGACAAGGGCGAGCGTATGGAAATCATTGAACTCAAAGACCACCCTTGGTTTGTTGGTGTTCAATTCCACCCAGAGTATTTGTCCCGCGTCCTCGCCCCAAGCAAACCGTTCCTTGGCCTTGTTGCCACCGCAGCTGGTGTTTTTGACGAAATTATGAAGTCTCAGGCCTGCGGAAAGGATTTGGCTAGCGGTGTTGCTGACATTGCCGTCTAAAAGTATGTTTCGGTATGTTCTGAGACTCGTGTGTATATCCTTTGGCGCACCTGCGCTCAAGAGGAACACCCGACTTAATGAACAAACTCGGAAGTGTTTGTGGATCCCCCCAACCAAAAAAAAAAAAAGAAAGAAAGAAAGAAATGGATTACTACGAAGGACTATGAAAAGAATAAAAATAACATTCGGCCTGTTCAGATTCGGGAGGCTCTCGCCTCGAAGTTTTGCTTCGATATATATGTTTTGCCCGTCGTCATTTGTCGCATTAGGGCCGGCCAAGCTTTGATCAAGCCGACCACTAACCTGACTTAGCTTCTAACACATAGCTAAACTAAATGGAGATCTTTTGATGTGTGGCGATGGGCGACTAATAATAATGAACATACTCGATGGATACTGTTACTAGTTAACGACTTGATAGATTTAGTTTTAGTCAACACGAATGAGACCTGCGCTTTCAGCGCCAAAATGAGCAACCCTTTTCTTCACGTTTTTCACCCTGCATTCGTATTGCTCAGCTCTACGGAGTACTTGCACAGGAAGACAGGACTTTCTTTCGTTTTTCGCTGATCCGGAGATAGACGAACGAGCTCGGCAGGCTCCGAGCACTTACGTGAAGCGAACAAGGGATCGAGGTTGGCGAGAGTTTGGCTAGTTAAACGGTTGCCATGTGGCAGGTATCACGTGGGGACGTCTGGAAAACGTCGTTCCAACTTCTTGTGCCGTTTACAAGAAAAGAATAAAAATACGAAGTGAATTAAAAACAAAACGAATTCTCGTTCATGGAAATGATAACTTGATATGGACAGCCCGGATAATCCCAGGCCAATGGGAACGAATCAAGAAAAAAAAAAGCAACCTTAATTTTGGGTTCGAAGGAAAGAGAGCAGAGAAAAAGGGGGATCACGAAAACGAGGGAAGGAGAGAGTCCGAAAGCTGCCTCACGAGAGAAACAAATTTCATAGGCATCCGGACTTTTGTCCGTACTTAGTAATGCGTAATAAGATGTCCGGAGACCTTTCCTGGATTCTCCAAGGTATGAAAGTTTGGGAGGGTTTAATTAGAGAGGTGCTGCGAAATTAACCAGTAGCTTCACCCGACCCCTGAACCCTGCAAGTAGGCCTTGGGGGCGGGGGGAAGGGGGGACGAAGACTGACCTTGTATCCTCTTTCCACAGAAGGAGCATCCAAGTGGGTGGGGGTTTTGAACTAACATGGAAAGCGATTTATCGCGGTTAAATTCCATGATCCGACAGAAGGAAGCTGTAAAACTGTCTCTGCCGAATATTGTTCGGGGTGGAGGACAACTGGGCCAATTTGGGAACCAAAAAAGAAGGATGGCCGCGTAAAAGCCGAGGAAATGGAGCACCTTACTATTTCTTTTGATCGTTTTCTGCGTTCCGTCGACAGGCCAAGTAAAGTTCAAGACTTCATCGTCTTGCTTTCTGCCAGATGTTAACGCATATAGTTAGCATGGGAAAAGCTCTAGCTTTCCCTTTTTGACAAGCGGCTGTTCTAGGGACGCCAAATCAGGCTGTTCGATTGGGTTGAAACATATACAGCAGGCCGACAAAGCAGGTTAGTATAGACGGAAATCCGCGTAAACTTGGTTGTTCCAACGCAACGCTGATGAACATGGCTTCATCCGCGACGCCTGGTAGGCTGGCGGAGCTGGCAGGGCATGGACGAGGTTGGCAGTCCCCGTGTCTCCATGGTAGCTTGCTGTTTGACAAGATGCGTTAAGAGACTGGCTCCAGGCTCCATACTAGAAGTCAACCAGCTAGTCATGCCAGAAAATCGCAGCAAAAGGAGGCAGCAGTTGTTGGCCTTGCCAGGTAAGCGGCAAAAAAACCGTTAATCAATTGCCTTGTTTTGTCTGCCCTGGTGGAGCGGATATGCGAGAACGATGCAAACATCTTTTGGGAGACTGTGAGCTGGTTGGGTTGACAGCAGGCATCCTGGTACCTGCATAACACCACTTTCTTCTCTCAAATCATGGCAATGATGACTAGGAAAGGTCAATTTTCATTCCCTCTCCTTCTTCGTTCCAATCTCGTCTCGTCTTCGCCGTCATCATCCCCGCTCCGGGAGGGCCAGGGAACAGGGAGACAAGCAACGCATCCCTTCGACGAAGCTCCGGCGGTTCCTTCAGCGTACTTAGTCACGCACAAGTACTTCATCTTAGAAGCTAGAAGCCGAGAAGGGAGATTTGGTCACTATTAATAGCTTTGGGTAGTTTGTTTTTTAGCGACACAGCCGCTCGGCGTTCAACCATGGATGGATCACATGAAGCTTGACTCTGTAAGAATGTACGGAGTATGGATGTCCTGTCTACCCACTTGTGCCCAGGATTGTGCTGTGGTTCCTCTTTACTGACGCCTCGTTCTCGCCCTCCCTCATCCCTCAAATGCACGATAGTCGATCAATTTTGCCAAAGCTCGTTCTTGCATGGGCGTGCCGTCTGGACCATCCTTGACTCCTCAAGCATATAAAATCAGGTCGTTATCAAACAGCAAAAAGCAACTTTTGTTTACATCCAATCAATATGATTACATAAGCTTCTAACCTCCAGAGGAGCCAAAAGGAAAAAGGAAAGAAAAAAGGAAAAATCCAACGACAGAGGAAGAACAGAAACAACAGCACAGGAAGAAAAAACGACGAATCGGCTCGTTCGTATAGCCAAAATCATCGTTATATCATGGATGCTATGTGATATTATTTATTGAATAAATATACGATGGGAATACCCCCTTGGCCCTGCACGATGAAGCTAGCGGACAGGCCTAGCCGTATCCACCAGTCCAGGCAGCTTGACAGAGGTCCCATCGTACCGCCACCTCGAGATGCAGAAGGGCTACGGAGTACACATCTAACGATATCGCGACCAGGGCCGTGCAATCGGGGCTATTATGATTTCGCTCGACACAGAGGTTACACTCGAAAACTGAGTCCCCAAGGCTGCTGCCCTGCTAGGATTTGAAACCCCATCTAGCACCAGCCTTTGTCCTATCATGCGCGACATCTCCAAGCGCTGCAAAGCCGGGGTGGAGATATATTCTTACTATGTAAGTAAGCAAAAAAGACCAGGCCCCTGACCTGAGAGGCCTGTCCGTTTATTCGGAGATAGAGAACTTGTCGACCAGTCGCCAACGATCATCCCTAATCCATGCTGAGAACGCTTTCATCTTCGTCTCCTCGTGAATTGTTAAAGACACAGAAAGAATTGGGAAGAAGGAGAATAAAAAAACGAAGTATCACTACCTCACGTCATAAGTATCAACAGTTCTCTTGAGTCGCCGACATTGGTAGAAGCTCTTAAAGGAGTTAGTTCAAAACGGTCTGAAATTAGCACTCTGGGTACGGACTCCGTACTGCAGCCTCGCTTGAAGTCCAATGGACATCAGCGACAGTCGATCATCTTTTGGTTCCCCTGCCCTGTTTGTGGGAGAAGCAGATTTTCGCTCTCCTCGGTTTTCTCTTTCCCTTTCGTTTTCCTTTTTCTTTTCCTTTATCCTTTTCTTTTTTGCTGCTATATTGGCGGACGGAGCAGCGTTCCTGTTTACCTCCGTTTTCTTCCTCCCCGTTGAGCCAAGATTCAACTGGATGGGCTTAAAGTTCCTTGAAAGACCCCTTGCATCTGCTGATTCTGTCATTGGTTGCTGATGAGGAACCGGTCCATACTGGCAATCACTGCAGGGCAAGCCGAAGAGTGGGATCAAGAGGTTGTACTCCGTACTCGTTCGGTCCGTACACCTGCCGATAGAATTCCTATTTTACTTTCTTTACTTTCTTGTTGCGGTGTGCCTCTTCCGTTCCCTCTTCTCGTCCACTCCTTGTTTATGCATCTCAGGGGGCTGGTCCTTTCCATTCATGGTGGGGAATTAACGATGAATGGCTGGCTGACCAGCCTCGACTCAGCGTCCTTTCCCCATACGCATTCTTGTAAACTCCATCCAGAGTCCCTTTTGCATGTGGTGAAAGCTCAGTTGCTCTGGATGGATGAATATTATCACGCAATTGCGTTCTAGCCCGATATCCTTGTGTTCAGAAGGATGCAGCTTTGCTGGACATGCGGAGCCTACCGGACATGATCTAAATCTCCTCACCATTCATGCATCCTTTTACTTTCCTACCGTCCCTCCCTTCCTCTTCACACTTCGGCAACAGGCTAAGTCGCCTATTCACTTGCATTGGACCCCGAATATCAACCAAGAGAGCAGCATTCTTCATTCTTTTGCCTCTACTCTTTAGTTAACCCTTAGTTCTTCTCTCTCTTTCCTCCATTTTCTCGAACGAGTCAGTGTGCCCACGAAGCTCATGAAGAAGGTTTGAACAATCCGCACTTCTCTGATCAGGGGTTGGCGAAATCCAGCCACAGCAGATAATTACCATTGCTTGATGTCTACACTGTGGAGACGCATACAAACAAACCCTCTTCCACCTCCCCTCCCCACGATATTGATTCGCTCTCTTGCTTCCTTCCAACGTCAGAAGAGTGATGCGCGCCAATGCCGATGGCCTTGGGTACCCATTCCGCCAGTACTGGGCCGGGGGATAGAGTTGGGTAGATTCGGTTGGGAGGTAAATTTTTCACGAGGGACTGGTGAGCTAGGCTCTGCAGCATCCGAAATCAGCTAGGGCCGTCTCCAGTGGTGAAACTTCATCTGTGCGCGCAAATACGATAACGACGATTTGAACCTGTCTGTAGTTGATTAACACTGCGGGAAATGATTGCTCCTACCTGGAATCTCCCTCAAGGAAATGCGAGTTGATATTGTGAGCGTATTTTATTTATATTTTTCTTACGCAGACGGAGTTAGATTCGCGCGCGTTCAGCCGGTTTAAGCGTACCGTACCCGTCCGCTGTTCGGTTCTATGTTTGGAATTTGATTTAAATTAGCTCCCACGGCACGGAGTCCTGGCCCCGAACTATCCGCGAAATATACTGACGGAGATCCTGCTCTGCATACGCAGAAATCGACTGGCTGCTGCTGCTGCTGATGGAGACGGCAAGTTAGCACACAGTGAGAACGGTGGATTGCAGCTAATTAGTTAACCCAGCCAATATACTTTTCGGACGCTGTCATTAATATATCATTGCATATCAAGTCGATCATATTGAGATTCAACTTCGATCCACGCGGACCAGGGGTTTGTTGTCAACTACCCCTTTCACTGGGCCTGCTCTTGAGCGCGCGCATAACCAGGGCATATCTCGAGATTGCATCCATTTGGGGATTAAGCAAAAACCCGGCAAACTGGCCAATGGTTTTCCCATTTTGGGGACGCTCTCTCTGAAACGAGGATTCTTCTTCACCAGCCAAACCGTCCTGCCTTCCTTCGTCATCTGTCTTATCAGCTCTATCGATAAAACTGGTGGCGCAACACCAGACTGGCCCATGCCAGGCTAGTGAGTTTACCTAAAGGAAAAGCGCATGGCCCTTGGGTTGGTTCCGTTCGGTTTAGGGGGAGGGTCCTCTTCGACAACGGCTTTTCTGCAAGAGTGCATAAAACCACGCACAGAAAAAAGAAACAAGCAAAGCATCCCCAGAAAACCCCGAAGGGCCCAGCTCGTGTTCAGATGGTTCTGACAGGCTCAAAACCTGCAATGCTGTCTCCAGTCCTTATCCCTCAGCGGGATGATGTCGTATTCTTCTGCATCTTGTCATGTTTTTTCTTTCGTCTTCGTTGTTAGTTTGGCTTCACCTCTTCTCTTGCCCATCCCATCCCACCCCCATCAAGTGCTGCTGGTCGCCGGTGTCTTTGTGCTGGAAAAGGAATTATCATCCCGCTTGCTGGCGTGGCTATCAATGGATATCTCATTATGGAGTCGAGAGTTGCCTGCATGCACGCTTATGTCGAGGGCTGCCTTGATACCCCAGAGCCAATGCAAGCCAGGGGCATCAACTGGCCACTGACCTCTGCTGATCAAGGTGCCGAAAAAGTGATGGATAAATCAACGTCTTCCGTTCACCCTGGCACACTCCTTTTGCATGGTGTCTTTATGCTGTTGTCGTTCTTCAGCTTTACGCCTCCGTGGGTATGCATGCATATAATATATATACTCCGTACCAGCCTACCTCCCCTTTTGCTGCCGTCGACTCCCTCTCATGTCAGCACAGGAGGAAAAGTAGTGGTTTCGCATAAATATCGGCCGCGCTTGCACAACGCCGATCTCCTTTTTTTGACCTTCGATTAGTTATTCTATTTTTTTTATAGTTAAAATTTACCTCTATTCTTTTTTCATGTATAAATTTTCATATTTTGTTATTTGGCGTTAGTTAATGCTTGCTTTTTTCCCGCCTGTTAGTGAGTTAACGAATTTCTTAGAGAAAGTAAGGAGAAAAAAGCCAAAGGGCTGAAGAGAAAAGGAAAAAACAAGAAAAAGAGGATGAAGAATAAGAAAACATAGCAGACGGCGAGACGAAGTGGAAGTCGAGGAAGAGCAGAAGAAGCAAAGAGATCCACGACGGTTGGATTTTGTTCCTCGTCGTCTCTTCTTCTGCTTCTTCTGTGGACGCAGCGGGCGGTTTTTCTTTTCCTGAGGTTTCACCGCCCGCCACGACCAAAAAAAGGCCGACGACGTCAAAAGAGACTTCGACCTTTCAACCTCAACCCATCGACAAACGACATCGACATCGACAAACAGCAAGATGGTGACAGGCGATAGACGGGCTTTTGCTCGGCTTTCGAGCCCATAGCATGATCTCCACTGTGGCCGTGGTAGCCTGTAGACAAAATCCTTGTATGTCAAGTCTGCCAGTGCCCTTGTTCGCAGTGAGCTAAGCCTTGATGCAGCATCCTGTCGCGTCAAGATGCTCCGACTCCACGGAGAACAGACTTGACAACGCTTATGCATCGTGGGAGAATCTATCCACTGGTCTCCTCGCTGTCTCGGCCTCTCTCTCTCTCTCTCTCTCTCTCTGCTTTCTCCTGGGTCTCTTCTCCTTTTCTCGGTTAAGATCCATGGTTGAAAAAGAAAGCCAAGTCTACAATCCCGTTTGTCGTGGGGACGATGGACGCCCTTCTTTTTTTCCTTCTACATTTTTGCAACGTCGAAATGGTGAAGAGAGAGAGAGAGAGCGAGTGAGGGTGAGAAGAAGAAGGGAGAAAAAGCAAAGAAGAAATAGACGATGAGGAAGAAGGCTGAAAATGCGAGCAAATCCCTCTTTAGCAGCCAGAAAGAGTGTATGTATACTCCGTACACGCAACTCTGTACTCCGTATGGAAGAACACTTAGCATTTTGAAGCTAAGTGTTTTTAGTAGGGTTGTTATGGACGATTGCCGCAGCTGCAGCTTACCAGGCCAACTCTTCACACGCCTCGAGCGTCTTATGCCCATTAAGTCCAGAAATATATGGATTATTGCAGTGAACAGGGCAGAGAAACCTTTCAGGGAGGAGTGTCCAACCACCTCTTGTAACCCTCTCGGCATGCATCCAGCGTGCTGGGTTGACATGACTGGCCGCTTTTTGCTTCTCGACGTATCTCTCCTGACGGGGATTCTCACACCTTATCCACCGGCACCCCTTGTCATTTTAATGTTCGTCACTGGTCAGAACATCATTACACGGGGTTCGCCAGCAACTGCTCGACATTTTTTTTCCCTTTCGACCTCCTTTTATATAACGTGTTATATCTGGAGCTGTGGAGCTTGTCATAGCCATCCGCGGATTTTTTTTTTTTTCAAACCTCCAACGGTGGCGCGGTGGGTCTCCTTGAATATCACACGCATCGTACGTATCTGTGTACACCTCTACATCTATACTTACACACACGTTTCATGGGAAGGAACATGAATAGCGATTTCGGGAATTTCGCTAATTACAGTCTAGGCTTTGCGAAGGCTTTTTTACCCAGCTTCCCTTGATCGAATCTCTCAGACAGGCCCCAGTTTATCCTAGCGAAGCTAATTAACGGCAGCGTCTCCCGACTAAACGTTGTTTCCTGCTCATGGGCCACAGGTCGGCACAATTCTCTTCTGCACTTCAAATTTTTAATTTTACACAATGATGCAAGAGGCACAAGTAGTCTTGCCGGTCCTGACGTCGCATTTATTCATTTTAAAATACCTTTTTATACTTTGCCTTCCTATCTCTATTCTTATTTGATCAAGCCCCTCTCTTAATACGCCCTTATTATTATTACTATCCCAGGCCCTGGTATGGTTATTACCATACCTATTATTATTATGATCTGTCGCCAGCGTCCCGATGACCTCCATGACAATAAATTATAATAATAATACAACCATGCACAGAACTAGTTTTGCCTTTGAAGTGTGAGCTTGTCAGCTTTTTTCGACGTCTACAACTTCTCACTTGGAACAAATATCATATGCTCTTCTACTGATATAGCATTCTTTTCTACCTTCGATCTCCCCCCTTCTCCCTTCTCCCCTTCTCCTATCAATATCATACTGCTTATTATTATCATTCTGGCATTGCTAAGATCCCTAGAGGGTGGGGTGGGCGTTCCTCAACTACTCTTTTGGCTGTTATCAACGAGCTTGCCTCACGCGATCCAGTTCATTTATACGCGCAGGGTGTATCGAGTAACGTATCTAGGGGTTGCCTAGAGAAAGAGAGGACTGGATTTGGGCCAGAGGAGCTGGTAGCGGAAGAAGAGAGGAGGATTGGGGCTTCATTGAGGACTAGACGAAGACGGACCTGAACAGGGAGGCCAACAGACTGGACAATTCCCAAGACATTCGGTTATACAACCACCCCTTTTTACCTGTTAGGTCCCCCTCTGGCGCAAATTTCAAGCAGCCTGCTGGAGCTTCAAAGCTCTAGCAGCGCTGGTTCGCAGCCGTGACGCTGGCGGATCCATACCGGGATTATCAAATTGATTACTCCGCCCACGAACAGACGAAAGCGCAGGAGCAACAGAGCCAGTTGGTATACGAGGCAGACCAACAACAAGCAACGCTTCATCATGGGGGACGCCCTGGAGCAGCTTTCATTTCGAGTGGCCATACTTCGCAATACCAATCTCAGCCACAACAGCACCCGCTGCACCGGAGCCCCCATCAGCAACATCAGCAGCACCAGCAGCACCCCCAGCATTCCCAGCATCATCAGGTATCGCAGCAGCAGTCTCAGCACTCACAATCTCAGCAGCCGAGCCAGCCGAACCACGGTCCAGGTGCGGTTTTGATGCCCTCCCCTAGCCAACACGGTGTTGTACGTGAATTGCAACAGCAGCCAGTTATGATTCCGACGCCTATGGTGCCACCGCAGTTGCCTCCTCACTTCAGTTCCACTTCACTCCCGTTGCCATACCCTGGAGACCGACATGGTGTGAAAAGGCGGCGAGCGGATGATGGGCGAAGCGGAGGGAGTGATGAGACGTCTTCTGGGATCGGCCTTTCCATGCTTCCAGAATCATCTCATGCTGACGAGCAACACTCCTCCGAAATGCTTTTACCTGCTCCAGGAGACCATTCATCACATCATCCACATACTATGCAACATGATTACCACCAAACATCCCCAATTCATCAACAACATCACCATCACCGACTACCCTCCCAGGCTACCCTGGCGGCAGTTCAGGGAAATGATGGGGAGCTCACATCGCCTGGTGGAGGCACCGGCTCGCAAAGCGTCGTTGGCCAGCCAGGCATGCCGGACCCTGCGCCTCGCCCCAGGGGCCCGAAGTTGAAATTCACACCGGAGGACGACAGCTTACTCGTGGAGCTGAAGGAAAATCGGAACTTGACCTGGAAGCAAATTGCAGAGTTCTTCCCAGGTCGGACCAGCGGGACCCTGCAAGTACGATATTGCACCAAACTGCGGGCAAAAGCAACAGTTTGGACCGATGAAGCAGTACGTCCTTTTACCCTAACTCTTACATTCCTCATCCCCGTTCTTCCCCTGACCTTTTCTAAACCTTTCCCCTTTTTTCGAAACTTAAATCTACTGGGCACTAACCACGTCCATCCTGCTGGTGCCCGATATACTGACATGTTTTATCTTCAAAGGTGCAACGCCTGCGTAACGCCATTCAAGATTACGAAAACGATCGCTGGCGTATCGTTGCTACGAAGGTCGGCAGCGGGTTTTCTCCCGCGGCCTGTCGAGAAAAAGCTGCTGAAATTCCCCCCTCGAATCCCCCACCAATTTAAGAGCTCTTCCTCCTTCGATTCCCGCTAGAACGCTTCTCGAATGTCTTTTTGCTACCTATCGGGACTAGATCGCTTTCAGCCGCGTCTCATGATGTGCGACAGCGTGGTACATTTAAAATTTATGGGTACCCATCTTGTTCTAAATTACAAAGAACTCCAAGATACGTCTTTTAATATTGACGTCTAATTTTTCTTTCTCTCACTTTCGACTTTTAATTTTCAATTTGACTTCGGGATTTATCAGATACTTTTCTCTACATTGGTTGGGCAGATTCAAGATCCGATTATTCGGCGGGTACATCTTGAGCCTGCCTACTTACACCTGGATGTTAGGAGAAAGCAGTAATTCTGGGCCATCGAAAGTTCTTAAGACTTGGAACAAACAAACCACCAAAAATTTTCCTCCAAAGGCGCAACGTTCAAAAAAAAAAAGAGAGCCCGGCGACCCTTTTATTTTCTACGGAAAAAGAAACAAAAACCCATTTGTGTCACAGATTCACTCAAGCTTGATTCCCATCGAGTCATCACTATTGGCGTGTCATCAACCGCATTGAATCTTTTTCTCCGGCAGGCCCGAAGAGTGAAGTGGAGTATGAAGCACACATCGCGCTATATCCCATGGTTCCTGCAACCTTCCGCTATTTCAACTGTCAATGGGATATCAATTCAACTTGCCTGATATAGAATACCAATAATAGGGCAGCTGGTTTCAACCTACCCGCTTACCGCCCTTTTGATACCCTGGTGTCCCTCTCGTTCAGTTTGACACTACACTTCTTGATCTAGCGAACCTTGAGTGCCTCTCTGCCACTTGTCCAGACCCCCGATTTTACCACTAACTGGACAAATGGTAGAGAAACCATGGCTATAACCATTTCGATTACAGTCAATACCCCCTTCCTTCATTCCCTTTGTTTACATGTATCTTGCATTGAGCCCTTGTCATTCGCTTCATAGCCATATGCTTACTCTACCTTTACTTCCTACTTCACTAATAATTTCTCTCGTTTTATTTCTGTTTTTATTTCCTTCTCTTTCTCTTGGTTCTTCATCTGCTAGTTGCATAATTGTTGGCGTCAATTCTCTACCTACTACACCCTTTCACGTATAATACTGGTTAGCTCACTCGGCCTACTTCCCTGTAATATCACAGGGGCCTGTAGCTAGCATGCTAAGCGTATGGAGCACACTCGTTATTTTCCTCGGCGGATTGTTCGTTAGTTCCTATGTTTACTTTCTTATGTTACTGTACTTTTTTCCTTCCCGATTTCTGTATGTCTTGCATCTCGAGATTGGCCGTCGGCGGCAAGAAACGGAGTACAAGTGGGAGCTAACAGGATGCTGTGTTGAGGATGTCGATTTTGGTTTTGTATCTATGCATATATACCCCTTTTCTGTACTCCAGCTCCTTTAGGTGGATCGTGGGTTGCGTCCCCGTGTTTATTTAGTCGGTGTGGCTTCACATTGCTGCTCATTTTCACGTATCCGTCAGCCTTTTGTGTTTTTGTCCCAAGGTGGTGGTTCTATTGCTCTATTCGATACTGAGATATAACGATCAACAAACCATTCTCATACCAAATAAACGTCTCTACGGAGACGCCGTTTCCTTACATTCCATACTTTAGGTATAGTCCTTCCTTTTAGGATTTTATTGTCCGGGTTCTAATGTCCATGGAAAGTCCCACCGGGTACACACAGAGCAAACAACTCAATAGTCTATTTTAAGTAGGTCCCTGAACAGGTTACACTAAGAACACTCGATTATTACGAGGCTGTGTGTGATGTTCGCATGCGGGTCTAAGACGGATGTGCATGACCGGTTTTGTGGGTTCAATATAAGTGTGTATTCTTGGAAAAGGTGGGTTATCAGGGGCAGGAAATCTCAAGGGTCGATATGTTCACAATATGCTACACACATCGGCCTGATGGATCCTCGGCTGACGAAGGCAGCGGTACGTGTGATTTATATGGCGGTGAAGTGTCCTGTTGTGACAACTACGGCCGGTAGTATAGAAATTCCCTGAGTACCGTGCATGTGTGAGATGAAAAATGCATGGTGGTTGCACATTCGTCGACCATTGTATTCAACCCAACTGCGCCTGCAGGAACGCCGTTATGACTCTGTTGTCGACAACTTAACGTCATGCAGTAGGATATGCAGGGATGCGTAAAGATGTAGGGAATGCACTTCACATACACATCAATCCCGCTAAAATTTTATAAATTTGGGGCATGGCGTTGGTAAATCGGCTTCCTTGATACGTACGTGGCTTAGTTTCTGTATGCCGATGGATAAAGTGTTATGCAGGAAAGTTTTGAAAGGGTATCGGTAGCAATACAGGTTGAAACTAACCTAGTAGAGGCAGTGGTCGACTGAACAAGTAAAAAAATACCCCAAGGTTGATCGAGGTTGATCGAGGTTGATCTGTTCCTTTGATGCGTGTGTGCAAGGTCGTACAAGATAAATGGGCACTTCATCCTTATCCACGTCTATAAGAAACGAGATATAGCTGCGGAGGCACCTTCCCATGTTCAACTAGGAAAGCACTTTGTTGTCCCCTTAAGGATGGTTACACGTTGTGTAGAACACTCTGAGAGAACCATCAGCTCAAATGTAATGAACATGTTTAAAACAAAAATTAGGGGATGGCTCCAGGCTTAATCTCGAGTAATAGCAGTACCCCACAAGGCAGTTTATTATAGACTTGGATTTATGCACCACAGGCGTTTCTCGCCTCATGAGGCTGAAACCAGGTAGTTTCATGGTTGATTGATATCGTCAGATAATAATATTATTCTCGTGTGTTTGCTCCATGTAATGGCTTTCTGGTTTTGCGTATGTCCCACTACATCTTGCTCGCAAATGTCCTTTCTAAGGCTGGCACCCAATGTATGAACAAGATAGAGTTGTTCAGGTAATACAATTTGTCACCCTCCCCCGTTTTATTCCATCTGCAGGGCGGAAAGCGGAAATTTGAGTCAACGGCCATCAAGATACCAAATCGGGTAGCTAGATACTAGCAACAGGGAATTATCTGGTTGGTCTAAGGCAGCATACGGCAATAACCTAATTTATATCTTGTTATCTGTAGCTTTACGCTTGATGGCAGTAATGGTTGCACGAGGGAGACACTGCTGGTCGGTCATCGATCTCGCAGAATGATTCCGTTGACAAACAAACAGTTTGAGGTATTGCGGTGGTATCTATAAAAGGATATTATGCTGGTATTCACACCTAGTATCTGGAGCACACGCGCTCATCCACGAATAGAGCGCCTTTAAAAGCGGGTATCGTTACTGAACTTTTGGTAATTTCAAGGCCGCAAGCTTACATGTTAATGTGTTTTTGTAACCAACCCCAACTTGTGATCCGCATATTCGGAAATTTCGTTTTAGACCAATTTATAATTTTTGCAAACTGGCCATGGGAGGACGCGAGGACAAGGGCTAGCCGGGTATTGAGTACAGAAGCTGGTTTTCCTCACAAGGATTCGATACCGCTTTTTCTTACCCTTAGTAGCCCACGATTTTTATAGTAAGGAAGCGAAGCATGCGCTGGTAATAAGGAAAAGAGAGAGTGCTGAAGAATAAAAATAAAGGAGCGTTACCCAGCCTATTCTTTGCATTTTCTGGAATTGGAATGGCCAAAATGTAGAAAACTAGGTGTGATAACCCATGCGTGAAGGGTCATACAGAGTTAAATATGGGGGCGGCGTACAAAATCTGATGCCGTAGTTATGAAATGCTGGCGATGGTGAATTGATGCTGGAGATTCTAGTAACACGTATGAGTCGGCTTGTTATCTAGGCAACTATCCGCGGCCATGTTGTGGAAGGAATGAGCGCTAAGATGCCTTTCTAATGTGAAATTTGAGTGTAGTTTACAGCAAGGCTTACTCCCCTTGGTATATACGCTGCTCGCGCATGGATATACGCTTGTAATAGCCACTGAGAGGGTAAATCTTCCATAGTATCATTCATTGGATTGAGTCCCAGTCTATGAAGCAGGTATAATAGTATTATTTCCGAAAATAGTGATGTATAGAAAGCTCGGGGTTTGAGCAGGTTCCATCAATTGTCATTTCAGATATCGTATCATCTGTCATCTGTAGATGTGTTAGCAAAAGAGCAACTTCGTCAAAACGAAGATCAAAAAGGTAGTGCCCTAAAGGGACAGACCGGAGCTTATATGAACGCGAAGTATCTGTTGTAACTACATTACCACATCTTGTGGCCCTGATTGATGGCGCAGCGAGGAATATCGAACGATCACTTGCAGTTGATAGTTTTCCCTTTTTGGATGTAGGGTTAGGCTTAAGTGATGACATAATCAATTAACTCTGTGTCAGGTGACTCATTGCCCATTGGTCAGGACAGACTAGGACTGTTTCGGGCATGACTAAGCAGAAACTGACCATCCGGAATCAGGCATTTCCAAGCCAAAAGTCCAAAATCATCACTCCACCTCATCTTCAAACCTCTCTCACCACCACGACAGAGTCCTCACTACCGCCACCGAACAAACCAATTGGTGGGTTTACAGGAATTGTGAAAAGATGTTTGTCCAGCGAAGTGTTTTCGCCCTCGCCAGACGGGCTCCCGTCCGGGCTGTTGCGAAGCGCTCTTTTTCTACCTCGTTCGTTCGATGTACGTACCAGCCCTGTCCTTTTGCCTTTAAGGAAGCTCCGCTTAGTTTACTTGAGAGTGACCTGGTGTCCAATTGAGCGAAGTAAACGTCATTTGGAAGAGGTCGGATGGTTAGAGCCGTAACTAACTCGTTGCCAAATGATGACAGACGAAGCAAAGTCGAAATGGGATCCTCAACCCGGTGAATCCGCTGGAAAGATGGTTTCCTTCGAAGGTCCGTTAAAACATAGCCCTGAACCTAGAGCTCCTCTCTAGACCCTTATACGCGCTTTCCCTGGATTTTGGAAGGCTCCAGGTTGGATAACATGCGCCTTTCGGCTGTTTATGAAGCCTGAGCCCATGCTATATTTGTCC